CTGCGTAATTGCAATGATAATTTATTGTTTATTGCTGGGCTATGAAAATTGAAAAGAAGATATATTGTGTTGGTATATGTCTTAATTTATCTTATACGGATCATGACGTTATACATGTGATTTTGTACCTAGTGTCTCGTAGGCCATACCTGGTATAATAAACATTGTTCTCTCATTCTCTCTCTATATATATATATATATAATCTGGGGCGGTCGGGAAGCGTCGTGGTTAAAGCGTTCGCTCGTCACGTTCGATTCCCGACATGGGTACAATGTGTGACGCCCATTTCTGGTGTCCCCCGCCGGGATATTGCTGGAATATTGCTAAAAGCAGCGTGAAACAACACTCACTCACTCACTATATATTCTTTGGTAGTAGTGGCCAATATGTGTTGATGGCTAGACAAGGGTGAGAAGCCGTAGTAGCGGGAGCATATTATTTTACTAGCAGACGAAGTCAGCATAGCGAGCGAATGAATTCCACCTACTGTATAGCAGGCTGGAATTTGGTTACCGGGTTTCCCCCTGTGTAATTGGAAAGGCGACTAATTGGATCGGGTGGTCAGGCTCGCTGACTTAGTTTATGCATGTCATCGATCCCAATTGTGTAGATCGATGCTCATGAATTTAATAACTGGATTGTTTGGTCCAGGCTCGATTATTTACAGACCATAGTCATATAGCTGGAATATTGCTGAGTCCGGCGTAAAACAACAACCAACTGTGTAATTAGACAACCAGCAGCCGTGTGATTGAGAGCTTCTCGCCAACTAAAACGGGCCACCTCGATAGAATTGCCGGCCATCCACACAGCACGATATTAGGTATTAGAACATAGCGGAAAGCGAGAAAATAGCAAAAGTTATAGGAACGCCTGTGCTCACTTATTGCTGTTAATTTAGCAGTATTTAACTAAGTTAGCAGTTAATGCATTGGAAATGTTCTGCATAAAGGAGTTCATCGCACGTAATACTCCGAACCACATCCTGGCGTACGCTGATCCCATATAGTTCGCTAATTCTATTTGCCAGTCTTCTGTTGAACTCTTTACGAGAAAGTTCAAGTTTTCTAATGTTCACAGCTGGCGGCCACGCAACACATGGCAACATGAACGACCACACCAACCTGATGTTCGGCAGACGAAGCGTCGGTCGTTTGGCACATGTCGTTTGAACCTAGACGAATAAAGAGCCATTTTGGAGTGGCGTTTGTTAGAGTGTACTGTAAACTTTATTTAAAAGAAAGATTTTATGGAAGCTTCACAATTTTATGGTACAGGTTATTGTGGAGGAGTTGCTTTCTTTGAGTTGTATGTCTGTACCATCTACCATAATGCTTAATTATACTTTAGTCAAAACCATTCATTGCAGTAGTTGTGGCAGCACCTATACTGAAGGAATGCCAGGTGCAGTGTGTAACGCCATAGCTGACATGAGATAGCGACTTGTTGAGAAGCGCCTGACATTGATAGCGCGTTAATGAAGAGCCATCAAAATGGACAAACAGCTGCTAAGTTGTGCATGTTCTGGACGTGAGATACCTAGCGAGCGCGCTAACCAGACAAAGCTCTGATTCAATAGGAGAAAAGTAAAGCACTATTCCACTACGGGTCAGTTTTCGAAATTTTCATGTGCATTGTTAATCCCAGACCTGAAAGTGAAACATCGTTAATTTGCAGCGAAGCTTTTGATTCAAAAAGATTACCCTAAAGGAACACAATAAAGGCTAAGGTAAATGCTGATTTAAACACCAGAGCTTCATGAGAAGTGCCGCAAATAACGGGCAAAGCATTGACGATTTGCTGAAGAATGGGAAAAGTGGTGGGCTTTGGTATATGCCGTTTAACTTTAATCAGGTGCATGCCGATGATGGCTTTTCTATCCAAGAAAGGTTTGCAATGGTTGATAAAGTTATTAAGCCTATGGCAGGTGGATATGGCTGAAATGTAGGCACTTACAGTACGAGGTGATTTACCTTGAATTGACATGTAGCCTATAAACTGCAGAAGCTGGAGTGGAATATGATGTTATGCTGCAAGGAGAGTACGACTAAATACCTAACTAGTGACATGACATTATTGTTTTGGGATGATTGCCTGTTGATTATGTGGATGACTGCTTTGTTGTCACATGTGAACACTAGCTTTTTGTTGCTCAAACATTTTGCCCACAATGAGCCGAGGTTGTGTTTATAAGAGTGAGTGAGTTAAAGTATTTAGTCACATCGTCAATATTTCAGCCATATGGAGACTATCAAGGGTTAATCATAATGAGTACATTGAACCTTATATATAAAAAAAACTGCCAACGAAGGACAGTAAAATGACTAGACTTATCACAGTAAAAGATATAAAACTAGTATGGAATCACAAAAAGACAGCACTATACAGAACAATACAAGATAAAAACGGGCTATAAATCGCCAGCCACCGAGGGTAGATCACCACACTGGGGACCATGGGGACTTACAATACCTTTGCTACCTGCATGGACCCCAGCATGATATACATCATTCCTTCAGTAGGTGGCGATTGTACGCAATGCAAGCCACAATTAAAAGTACAAATATTCTACGTTAAAAGTAGTAGTATGCAGAAATATTCCTTAAAATATATGGACTTACGATATCCTCTTAGGGGAACAATAATTTGGGGAACCCCCTTTGAGGATACAGCCTGTAACAAACTCATTCAGCCATTTATTTTATTCAAAATCTATTATCGAAATGTATTATACAATTCTATTTTATTTTTTTTTAAAACACATATATAAATGAGAATTAATATTATTAAAAAGGTCCTTGAGGGATGATGATTTGAAATATTTATCCCTTGTGATGGCAATATCAGTACAGTCATGCTTGACCGTGATTCTCTCATCACAAGGGATACACAACGGATCGAGGATCCTCACCTTGCAATAAATGTTTGTGTATATCTACTATGGCCAATACGACTTCGTCGCAAAATGACCTCTTCAAATCTGGATTGACAACCCAGGTGTAACCGATATTTGGTTTAATTTCATGTCATCTACTTATACCTTCTTGGGTGTCCCACTTCTTCTGCATTAGATCTCGTATTATGATCCAGTGCTGCTTTAGCAGCAGCAGCAGCAGCCATTGTGTTACCAATGATTCCAACATGACTGGGTAACCAACAAAAAGCGATATCGTATTGGCCAGTAGCACGTTTATGATATGATTCAATAATTTCAATTAAAAGTAGATGCTTACATGATATATTTTTAATAGCCTGAAGACACGAGAGAGAGAGAGAGAGTCGAAAATAATATAAATTGATTTTGCTTAGTTTGTTTACCAATATATTTTAGAGCTGTTACGATGGCATGGTATTCGGCTGTAAAAATGGAACTATTACCTGGTAGTCTTGTTGACATAATCCTGGATCCAAAGACGGTGGTGCTGGCAACCGCGTCACCATGCTGGGATCGAATATACATTTGAAAGTGTTACATGTGTTGTGCAACCGATTATATTCTTGTTGGTAGATTAGTTGGTTTGTCTCCGATTTCCTAAGTTTAGTTAATGACAGGTCAACCTCTGGCTGCACCATCTGCCATGGGGAAGAAGACAAAAGCTGAGTTAGAGCTATAATTTTAAGATTGATTTTGGCAGAAGAAATGGTAGGTTTGATTCGTAGACCAATTGGAGGAATAAGGGATGACTTCTTATAGAGAGGACTTAAACCCCAATCATATGCATGATTAATTGGATAAGAATAGAGCTTTGTGAGATATTGTAATGAGAGTTTTATCCGACGTTGTTTTAGTGAGGGCTCGTCCACTTTTAGACGTTCAAGGACCTTCAGGCAATATATTTTCAAATATTTTATGTGTGGTAAAAAGGTTAAATGGGGATTAAAAAATAATACCAAAGAACTTGGCCTCTTTTACAACTTTAATCGGAGTGCTGTTTAAAACTAAATCAGGGTCTTTATGAGGTTTGTTTTTTCTACAAAGATGTGTACAATTTGTTTTGGATTTTGAAAATTTAAAACCATTTTCTAACGACCACTTATTTATCTTATTTAGACACAGTTGTAATTCAATAGTATGCATGTTTTTATCCTTATTATAATGATCAGACAGGGTTGAACCCACGCAAACTTGAAATTGTCTATCTGATAATAATTGGGATATAAATTGAGGCAAACGACCTCGCAACCCAAAGTCATATAAGTCTTTTAAAATACCGTGCTTCCATGTAGTGTCATGAGCCTTTCCTAAATCGAAAAAGATAGACACTACATGTCGTTTGTTTATAATGGCATTCTTAACGAATGACACCAAGCGAACTAAATGGTCAATGATACAGCGATTTTTACGAAACCACATTGAATATTGGTTATTTAATCATTTGATTCCAAGTACCATGTTAATCTATCATTGACCATGCATTCCATGGTTTTGCAAACACAGCTGGTCAATGAAATAGGTCGATAATTAGAAGGATCAGTGTGATCACTTCCAGGTTTAGGAACAATTATAGCTTCTCGCCATGAAGAAGGAAATTCTCCTGACGTCCAAATTGTCGCATTCGTTGTACATCCCCTACAACGTTGATAACATATTTTAGTAAAAAAAATTGTTGTTTGTTTAACTCCGCACTCAGCAGTTTTCCAGTTATATGACGGCGGTCTTGGAATAATCGAGCATGGACCGGACAAGCCAGGGGTTGACATCATGAGCATCGACCTACGCAATTGGAATACACTGACACTTATACACTGATCAACAAGCCTGATCAACCTAATAGTCGGTCTTAAGACAAGCATGGATTGCTGAAGACCAATTCTAGCCCGGATCTGCACGGGTCTTTGTATATGACAGTCATTGATTGGCACTGATTACTTCACTTTATGTCACGCCCCAAAGACACCGCGGTTCCTTGGTTTTATCATAAGAAATGACATATTTAATGCCTTCCGTAACTGGAAACAAAAATCAATGTGACGAGCACACCAGCTTTTTTTAGTTCGTTCATAATGCTTTATTTGTTTCCATATTCGTACAAGGGACTTATTTACAGTATTTAAAATATATATTTATCCACAAGGCGACATATGTTAAGAAGCAGCATCTATGCATTCAGAATATGCAGTTCAATAACCACAAGTTGAAAATTGTTGAATAACAGAGCTTCCACATATTCAGAATATACATGTCAATATCCACATATTATTATACATATCAATATTCACAGGTTCATATTTCTTGAGTAACAATACATCGACGGAGGCTGACTAGCATACTATCACGAGCACGGGTATGGTGCAGACAAACTTATAAACATAACCGGGGCGAATCTGGAATCGAACCCAAGATCATAGGTATGTTCAAGAAACGCTACTCAGCACAGGGAATTGCGCCGCCCAAGACGACTGGGCCATCCGTCCCCCCTACTATCTGGATGTAAAGAAACATTAGAAAGAAAGAAAACGTGACGGGTCATTAGAAATATAAACTGTCAATACAAGAGAATAAATAACCAGTTACAGTACAAAGCAATGTATTTTATTTCTTCCCTGGTTGTTGACACAATATTTGAAACCGAAATGTGAACAATGTAATTCACGACTGAGAGGGAACACATTCGTCTCTTTAGACCAGGGTTCAATGCTCAGCATTGTTATGATGCTGGCCAACCAAACATCAAATCAATCGTACTCATATTCCATTCATGTATTTCAAGACCGCACCCATAATGTATTGGTTAGAACTTCTTCCCGGAGAGCGGAAGGTCAGTGGTTCGATCCCCAGGTCGTGTCATACCAAAAGACGTCAAAGGATTGTACTTGTTACCTTGCCTGGAGCTCGGCATTAATGGGCAAAAAACAAGGACTGGTCGCATCGGAGTCAGTATACCGTATCTTGTTGGATAAAACACCTTGAAAAAATTTTGAAACCAATCACAAAAAACTCAAATATTCCTCGTCAGTGCAACCAATATCAAGTGTAGACCAATCAGAAACCTTGCGACCGATGGATTCCCATACAACAAAATTGTCATTGATGCAACGCCCACCATGTGACATGTGACGATGAACCGCTGAGTGGTTTGATGACATTGATCCTAAACACACATACGTGTGACCAATGAAGCGAACTTCATGGTCGAGTCGTAAACAAGATATGAACAAGAAATAATGTATGTTTTAAATATTAAATACTGTTTATATTGACAGAAATACCTTTTGGCCCAACAACAAATATCTAATATGAAATTTTCTTCCCTAGAACTTAAAATGTCTTTTCTGACACCAGAACTTTTAAACTAAACAAAGTCCCTGGGCCATTTAAACTAGAAAGTTCTCCATCTGCAAGTGCAACGGAGGTGACCTCCCACACGCCCTCTTGTGCCAGCTGGTATATAAGGGGAAGTAACCGGTCTCGCAAGTTGTCGGAGTTGTTGATGTACTTGGTTGGAACCGTGAAAATGATTCGACCACCTGGAGAGTATCAATAAATTTGAGTTTAATTGAGTGATTGGTTGATTAATCTTTTGGATACAATTTTATTGTTGAAAAATACTGTTGAAAATTAATGTACATTTGGTTTCAGGTTGCAAAAGAATCATTGGACTTTCGGCTGTTTCAGATAATTAAATAATAATCTTTCTCTGTTTACACAGGTGTCTACATAAAAGCATATTAATGAGTGGATACATTGGTGATATGGTAAATTTATGATTACATCCAAATGTCAAATATTTTCATAGGGCAGAATTTACAAATTATTTCAGTATGCTAGTTCCATTACCCTCCCACACTGAAAACCTGCGAGATTACAAATTAGAGCTTGCAACCTTGATTTTGTTTAAGTTCCGGAATGTATGTATTGTGACGTTCTCACCTGGTTTAACGATCCGGATCATTTCTTGAAAGGCGTCACAAGGTATTAGACCTTCGTTAAAAGCTGCCGATGCCACAATGCTGTCATAGTAATCTAGAACATAACAGTACACTATTAGAGAACATCAAATGTTGTTTTACATAAATACTTCCGCAACACATGAGGATGGAACCCACAACTGAACACTCATATATGTGTTGATATCGTGGGTAGGTAATTAGCATGGAAAATAATAGGGAAACGATGTTTATCTTGAATTGTGTTAATCTTGGCGATTTAACTCGAAACGGTTCAGTCCGCATTATGTTTATCTGCACTACAATGATTATAATTAGCTAGTCAATGAGTAAATTGGGTTTAACGCCTCTTTGAACAGTATTCCAGCGATGTCACGGCGTGCAGCTTGGTGTGTGAGGGAAGCCCGAAGAAATGAAGGTCTCAGACGTTTATCACTTTTGTTAAACCCACATGACAAATCTAGAAATCTAATCAGGGCAAATATTGGATTCGTACTAACGATCATTGGGACACAACTATGCACAGCGAATTGGCCACTCACACTGATTTAAGAAAACTATAAATCAATACGTTATATTATCATGCCAAAAGAAAGCAAAGCTAATTGGACAAGACACCAAGTAAATACACTTTGCAGTATTGGGAGTCATAGACTATGTCTAAAGCAACAAAGTGAGGTGAGGTGAAATTGGGTTTAACGTCGCGTTCAAGATTATTGCACTTATCTAGCGACGTGAACGCAAGTTTGATTCCAAGCCGACTTTTATTACCAGTCCGTATTTTTTGATAATGAAGAGGCCGAGCAGGTACTTTTACACTGCACCATGAAGGCAGTAAAAGCACCAAAGCATCACATAGAATCGGTCCACATGAAAGAGTCTTTCCAAAATTATAACCAACACCACATTTCAGCTTCAATAACAACAAAACCATATAACATAGAAACAGAGGAAGTATACAGAAGAAATGAATCTGAGCATATTTCATTACAATAGAAAATTAATTTTAAAAAATATTAATAAAAACCCGTGAACAGGGAAACGATTTTGTCACTTTTATTTACAAACGTCGAATGCATATTTTTTAAAACTACAATTCGGGTAGCTATGATTTCAATGATCTCAACATATATTGAACACAGACATCATCCAAATTGAAATTAACCACACAGGCTGTTAATGTTTCACACCTGTTTCAATGGTATCGTTCCTGTTCTTTTTCATGAATGCACAGATGAGTTTTTGATAGATGTTGCGACGTCTTGCCACATTCAGCATCTTCTCGGCTGGATCCAAAGCATCGATGTGTGTAAACCCACGATTCTTTAGCTGGAAAATATTAAGGGCAATAGCTCAGATACAGGTTATCTACTTCACACTTCAGTTATCTACTGGACCAACACTTGAGCCTGTTCCAACTTTCATACTTACTATGGTTGAATATCGAGGGCATTTTACTGTGCTAATAGTTCTATTTCATCTGGACATAGTTCATTGAGAAAACTGACAAAGTGTGATTGTAACAAAACAAATGATCACTTCCCATGTTGATCTTTCTTATTACCAGATTAGTCACTATAGCTAACATGGAACAGGTTTACCTCATTTCCAAGAAGTCCTGTGCCAGCAGCAACGTCCAAGATTTTCACTTTTGGTCTATTTTCCTTTGGAATGGTTTTAGCCATGAAGTCTCCGACAACTACATGCGATCTCAAACCGACGTTCAGATATTCCTGCAGAATTCAATAATACCTTAGTCAATAACAGATAATAAACCAGACAGGTGTTAAGTCCCAACATCTCGAGACATGAACTACATGGCATGCAGATTCCCAGTGACAAAAACCATCTACAAGGCACAAGAGGATGACTTCAACTTTCCAACAGTGACTTTTCCCTTTATGTCAAGTAACATTCCAGCGTTCAAACCGTAAGTGTCTACACTTCACAACTTTTGAAGTACAATCGAACATGACCCTTCTGCAAAGATTTCAACTTGCGTTTTTCGACGCTTGTTTAACAGATGCGTCGAAGACCTTGAGTTTTTATAACCCTTGTCTAGGAACTTTTGGCAAGAGTAGTCATACCGTTGGCCCAAAAGTATTCTAAGCAATCTCACAACTTATGTGCAGGTGGCTATTTCGATTACAAATTTCTGTTACCTGTTCGTAGTCCTCAGCAAAGTCGTCGAACATATCCACTATCTGTTGTGGTGTCATGTTCTTTCTGAAGTCAAACTCAAACCTCCCCTCTGTGTGTCGGCCTGCCATCTCCTAGTAAGGAACATAATAGTCATGACTTCACTGGATTGTCTGGCCCAGGCCGCCATCGTAGCAGGAGCATTGCCCGGTGCGGCGTTTGGCAACAAGCACAAACATTTTGCATATATGTGGCGTATGCTACCGGGAGAGCAGATATTTGTTTGAACGAACTTCAATTTTAAAAATATGACTATTGAATCAAGAGCCCTCAAATCCAACATCAACATCAAGCCTCGACTTCCGCCGTTTGAGAATAGACCGCGAAAAATATCTGTTAAATATTTAGCTATTTTGTAAGCTTCATCATAGAGTTGGATTGGGATTAATATATTGTGTAAGTATTTAAAATTGCTTTGTTCTTGAAATGCTAGCCAACTACACTGCAATTATGTAGGTCGCCTGAAATCGTGTCTAACTGTCACATACACAAAGGCTCTCACACACAGAACTAATTTTGATGAAAAACATCGCCTAACGAGTCCTTGGGGAAGAGCTACTGTCCTCCGGTTAAAACAAGTAGAGATTGCTGCAGAGCATCAATAGCTCCCCGCAATATAATGTTATGTGCAGAGGAAATAAGTGTAAGCTATGGGAGGAGAGAATTTGTGTTCAGTACAAATTGGTTGTTATTAATGTACTTATCTTTGGAAAGCAAAATGAAAGAAACAGTGTCTTTAATTGGTCAGCACAAAGAAAACCCAGGCAAGAAAACTGGGCCTGTCAGGCAAAACTTGATATATACCCATTATTAGTACCAATAAAAAAAATCTTATAAAGATAACGCAACAAATGTCATTCTAAAGCATGTTTTTGCAGCAAATATCAATATTTCTGGTCAAAATGTTGGTTGGGTTAAATAAAGCAAACTTTTAAAATAGTGAACACAAAAAAATGTAATGAATCCACTCATTATATACTCAATAGACTTCAGTTCAAATGTAAAAATTCACGCAATCATTAATGGATTCCCATTTATCTAGCAGCAAGTTAGGAACATACAGTTTGGTCACGTTATCTATAAATATTGAGAATTATCTTACATGTTGTAAAAACAAAGGACATAGGTCACTTTTCTCAAAACTTCGTTTAAGTAATCACAAACTAAAAATTGAAAAAATTGTAGATATACAAACAAACAAAAACAACATTTGAACAACGTCTGTGAAACATGTGATGTCTCAGAAGATGAACAACATTACGCATTGTCTTACATAATACAACCAAGAAAGAGAATCACAAATAATCCCCAATCATGATAAAGAATTTAGTACACTCTGTAAAAAGGTGCAGATTCTTAATAAGTTTACCAACAGTTATCCAGAAACAACTTCCAAGATCTGTTAACATATCAACAATTACAAACAAATTCCTTGCACATGTATGTACAACATTACCATAGTTTTGCTCACTTCCCATATTGTTTCCATATCATTATAATACACTTGTTTTACAAATAAAATTGTTATAATGTACCTCTTTGGAATGTTGAATGTTCCTGTGTTTTTTAATTGTCGTTTATTGTGCATGTATTTTGTAGTTTGTGATTGTGTAATATAGCCACTGTTTCTTCATGGAATGTTCCGCAATACATGTCTCATCTAAAACATCTTTGTTGTATAATAGTTTCTTACAGTTGTTTACGGGGGCATGGTTGGCCCAGTCGCCGAAGCCGCTGCAATTCGCTATGCAGAGTTGTGTCCCTTGGGCACGCCAGAAACCTATGACAGTGTGTTTGAATCTCGGTTCGCTCCGATTTTGTTGTCAGCCCAAAACCCTTGCTCGTTGGTTTCACCAAAGTGGTGAACGTCTAAGACCTGCATCACTTCAGACTGACACATCAAGCTGACACGGAATACTATTCAAGACGGCGTTAAACCCAACTACCTCACTCACTCTTGTGTATGGTTCCGTTTGGTTAACTGGCTTTGTGTTGTGATTGCTTCCGGCTTAGATTTGAAATTTGTTTAGAAGAATGTTACTATATTCAACCCAAACATCGTGGAGATATCATGCAACCGTATTATCTTTTTGGAAAATAATTGCAAACTACAGACCAACCTGTCCTATGTATCCAGAAGCAAAGAACATATCCGGGTGTATGATCTCTGCTGGAATTTTTTTTGTTTTTTTGTCAAAGCAATAAACCATGCAGAAACGTAAACGGCCGCATGAAACAGTATGTACCATACATTACATACAGTGAAGTATTAAAAACAATGCTGTGCTCAACTATGCACAGCAAGCGCCATACATGTGATTATGAAGATAACTAATAAAAAATTCTCATATCAAACCCGTTGTTTTACATGTGTTGTTTATTGAACAAAGTCATACTTTATAGAAGCCTGTTATTTAATCGTGTTGAAAAATATGTTGCAAAAGCAGTGTGAAAATTGAGTGCGCGTGACAGGCTTGGCCTAAATTCCTTCCTGGAACGTTTCTCGATGGCTGCCTGAATAACATACGATACATTGCAAAGGTAGTGCGCAATTGAGTTGTTCGGGTAAGGGAGATAATCACTCACTCTCAGTGATACAGCTTGAATAAGGCACGATGTACAGCAATGCAAGGTCAGTGCGTGAATTTATCACTTCTATACTACGCCTATAGCTAAAGGAGATAATCGCTCAATGCGCAATAGTTTATTCTTACAAAATATATACCGGTTAACTTTAGCGAAATGGGATCATTTTTAGCTCTTTTAAAAACAAAATGAACAAATTTCATGGGTTATCAGCATTACGAAAAGTGACTAAGTCTCAGAATAGCAAGAAGATTTTGAAGTATCTCTTATTGCTGGAAAAGATAAACATCAACATTTCACGCACATTTCACATGATTTGTATGTTTCGTTTCGGTAACTGTGTGGCTTGAAATTTCAAAGAAACCAACATGTCGACTTACATGCTACAAATTTAACCTCTCCCGTATACTTCCCCGCCTTAAGGGCGGGGAAGAATGACCTCTGGCTAGTTATGACGAGACGAATCTGAGAATGCACCGTTGAAGTTGAGAACCAGTCATTCATGAACGTTGTAACATGGTCTTTAGGAAGCCAAGCCCCATTTACTGGATTCACTCGTTATTTTAGTGACAGAATGCTGGAAGAAGACAGTATAGTGGCATTATATGGGAATACACTACCGTGTTTATCTGTAACGTCTAGACGAAGCGATGCTTGCGATAAATAGACAGGAAGAACCACGTTCGTTAGCAAAGCACACAGCGTCGTCCTGCACTGAGAGTCAATCCAGCTTTGATGGAGTGTGTATTTAAGCAGATATAAAATGAGTAATGGGATTTCTGTGAAGCTGACTGGCTGTTGAATCACATGACAGCTAAAACACTGGATGAAGTCAAGGCGTGCCAGAGCTGACATACCACAGAGCGGCCGGCTACTCCCAGACTACTTTGTAGAGTAAGTCAGTATGGTTATTACCCTATTTCCAACGTTTACAACATTCAATAAAAATCGTAATGTCATCTCTTAACAAAGATCCTGTGATGTTCGTATGAATATCAGATATATAGAATACTAAACGAGCTCCCGTGTAATACCAATTTTATGAAACGAGTGAATAGTTGTGGTATCTGACGAGCGAAAGCGATTTAGATACCACAACTATTCACAAGTTTCATAAAATTGGTTTTACACGGGAGCGAGTTTAGTATTTTATTTATTACTTGCCATTTATAACGTTTTTAGAATTATACTGTTGAGTATGAATAGGCTGACACCTACACGATCCACGGCATATTCAAATTGAGTTTAACAGAACAATACTTCAAACATGTCAAAAGTTGAAACGTATGAATTTAATACCATCCAACGGTCCACCTTTAAAATTCAGGCGTCCGTTCCACAAAATTATCGTAGGTCTAATCGCAGATCACATACTTTAAACATGGTCGGTGCGCTACAATACGATCGCCTTGTGCCACGGGCCTTGCACAACAAAGTTTACAATCACGTCACAATACCCAATGACGTAAATTGTGGAATTTTGTTGCAAGATCCATCGGCGAAACAATGCCACGTGACGTCAGCCTAGCAACAAGGTTGCTGGGGTCATCGAGTGTGCATAAGCTCCTCTCAGTGATCTATCAACTCCATACGCAATGTCGTTGAATAAGCCAAGGGATGTTGAGAGTTTTCAATATTTGTTCGTGAAACGTGTTCCAAAAGTACATAAGCACGCGTTTTGGTATTACACAATGTGTAATACAGCTGTATGTTTATTAAACGGGTGATCTCTTCACGGGCAAGTAATAAAAATATGTATCTAATGTAATTTCAACACCGTGCCTACATTAGCTTGTTTAAGCTGTTGCAGTAGTCATTTATTGTGATAGCTTATGTTAATCAACAGTAGTTAGTGCCGATCTGTGCATATAAACGATATCATATTTAGAACTATTTGTCCGCAGCTGTTTCAGTTTGTCGATGACCGTACACATTTTTGCGCTTGGGGAGTTAAGTAGATTCTCACTGAGTCTTCGTAGACGGTGTTATGGTAAGGAGTTGTAAAGCAAAACTGAAGCAAATGGTAGACGTTTCGAATTTGGTAAAACACACAAGCACAAATATGATACAGACAGACCAGTGAATCGTAAAAGACGACTATGAGATTCGAACCAATGAAGAAAAAATTTGCAAGATTGAGTCGTAACCTGCACAATCAATTGCTGCAACCTAGATTTGAAATTTCATTGTTTTGACCCTATATAAAACGCATTTGTCTCTATAAAACAATGAAGCTCTAGCAATCGCCACGTTACAAACACGGGGCGGGGTCTGAAAGCTCTGCATTGCGATGCTGCTCTGTGGGTGTTTGTACTAGACCGGGCTGATGCCGATTTATAGTGCTAGCTCACTGAGATACCATGCCGCAGTTTAACATGAATACCCCACTCAGACACAGTATACTGACTCCGAGCCGACCAGTCCTTGTTTTAGCCCCTTATGCCGAGCGCCAGACAGTATAACAACAAGCACCATCTTTTCACGTCTTTTGGTATGACGCGGCCGGGGATCAAACCCCGTACCTTCCGCTCTCCGGGCGGATGCTCTACCACAAGACCACGCAGGCGTCATTGAGGCATTAGTGTCCTCATCCTGTTCGAGTGGTTAAAGCGTTCACTCGTCACGCCGAAGAGCGCGGCGTTAAACAACAAACGAACAAACAAAATATACTTAAATATATTATCAACGTCATAAGGGATGTACAATAAATACGACAATGCTGTCTGTTGTTTAACGCCGCACTCAACAATATTCCAGCTACATGACGGCGGTCTGTAAATAATCGAGTCTGAACCAGACAATCTAGTGATTGATATAATTAGCATCGATCCACGCAATTGGGATCGATGACATGCATCAACCAAGTCAGCGAGCTTGACCACCCGATCCCGTTAGTCGCCTCTTACGACATCCATAGTCGCCTGTTACGGCAAGTATTGGTTGCTAAGTGTTTTTTTCAATGTTTATAGCTTTTCCAGAAATTGTGCTGTAAGTCAGTCCTGGTCCACTGTTTATGGTGTTCTCTCTTATGGTAGAGTAATAACTTGATTCTCTACAGAAGGAGTAATATGAATTTAGTTCTTTTTGCAATTATTCTTGATTTTTTTAAACCTTCATTCTATAAAAACCGACTTGAAGCTCCAAATGTTCAACTATTCTTGTTTTGGCTTGACTCTGTAATTCCTCTTCTCTGCTGACCCGCCACAGATGTCAAAGGCATCGCCCACAGTGGATGGAGCAACGTCACTTCTCCTTGGCTCAGTCCAACTACATCAATTAAAAAATGAAGATGACGGTTCAAGACTAAATGTTTTGTTCGTTTCCAAACTTACATTATGTAATGTTAAGAAACAAATACAGATAGCATTTCATTTTGTTGATATATAAGTTAGGTGTTGGAGCATAAATAAATGAAACAATCAGTTTTGTATAAAATACGACATACCTGTCTGAAGGTCTAATATTTGCAGTGCTGATGTGGCCACGCCAATCTCAACGATGGCATGGTCGATATGTCATACACGGCCTCTGCCTCTGCCTCTCGGGTGAGATTTTGGGTCCAGGACTTCCACCTTGAAATCAACATTTGTTTTTACACCATAGATATAATTCCTAAACGCAAAATGCTTCTAGTATTACTGTTTAGTAGTAACCAAAGCAATTCGTTATCATCATATATAATATAACATTTAGTATAGATTGTTCTGTTTTGAATATTCACTGTTCAGGTTATCTAAACATCATAATATACTATTCTATTATCAAATTGATATATAGATTCGAATATTACTTTATGTTATTCATATAGGCCTATTCCACCATTCATTGATTCCGTAATGTATCCAACAAATGTATTCCGTTTCATTCTCTTATTATTTTTGTATGTTTTTTTGAACAGTGTGTATTGTTTTAAACTGCTGGGCTTACTAGATACGTTCTGGCAGGGAAAATATAAACTGACGGCAAAAGCAACTTTACCGCTTTAAAAATGAAATTGCAAAAAATGTAAAAATACAAGTTTAAATTAAACCAATGTAAAACACATCGTCCAACAATGTTCTTTGCAGAAACTGATACACGTCCACGGCACGTTTTTTTTAGAAATGCGAAAAAGTGAAAAACACGAGCCGCTTGGGCAGCCGAAACTAAACGTGCAATAAGGGCATATAAATGATAAGGACGAGCGGGTCCTGGATGTGATACAGATGGGAACTTTTGGTTGCTCCCGTGTTGCTCTAACTTACCTGATGCAACGTTACACACAGACCGGACAGGCAAAGAACAGGCAGACCCAGGGTAACTACGCGCAATTAAGACTGGTACTTGCAAATTGCATATCTCCGGAATCGATTCCTGACACAAACGTCATCAGCGACGAATGCCTTAGGGCATATGGTTAGTTGACAGACAGTGGCCAGCGACTCAGGGCTCACGGCTTACAGACCTTGATGGGCCCGGACTGTACGTCGTTGGCAGCGACGTGACTGGCAGAGGGTCGTCTTCACTGTTGAAAGCCGATTCTGTCTGTTCAGAGTTGATGGAAGACAGCGTATTTACCGCCGAAGAGGAGAACGAACGGCGGCATGTTACGTTCAGGAGGTCGTGCCGTGTGGTGGAAGGGGTGTTATGGTCTGGGAAAGACGGTACATGCACAGGTAAATGTGTCAACAGAATCAGTATCAGTTCTGGAAAAGTGGAAAAGTATTGGGTAGATCGGTGAAGGGTGTGAGAGAGAAAAATGAACATTTCTTTAGAGATAATGACTGAGGAAGAGAAACATGTAGAGAAAATGGTTTTTATACAGGTGGAGATCAGACTATCAGAAGCTGTTTAATGGAGATGAGGCAAATGAGAATGAAAGCGTTGGGATGGAACTGGATGAGTGAGTGAGTATGTTTTTACGCATTTTAGCTATATTCCGGCAATACTTGTTTTTATACTGTCTTGCACTCGGCATTAAGTGGCTAAAACAAGGACTGGTCGGCTCGGAATCAGTATACTGTGTTTGAGTGGGGTATTCATGTTAAACTGCGGCATGGTATCTCAGTGGAGTAGCACTATAAATCGGCATCAGTCCGGACTAGTACAAGCAGCCACACAAACACACATACCTGCATGCACGTCGCTATATAAGTTCAATAGTCTTGTTACGTACAGAACACTGGACGTATCGTTTGAGTGATTTGATGGCTTGGAACATTCTCAAAATCTTGTTGTCTTTGCCATAACTTGTCCCTGTAAGTCAATTCCTGTGCTCTCTCGAAGTCAATAAAAGGCTTGTGAGTGATACGTACGGTAAACGGTTGAGCGCCCTCGACGAAATCCATCTGTTCTTCACCATATATATTCTTTCTCTTTGACCAAGCATAAAAATCTTCATTCAATACACAATACACAACATGATGATGTTATTCCTTGAAATCTAAGTGGGTGCCTCGGATTTGATGATGATGGTTTGGGAATCGGATTACTAATCTCCCTTGACGACATTCTTGATATGCAGGATATTGTAAAACAAACAACGCAAAGTCTTCGTAGAATCTCTGGAATAATGGGTTTCTTCAATAAAAGCAACAAAATCATTTCCGTATTCATAAGAAATCTCTGCAAAACATAGAGTCGATTGTACGATTCCGACTATATCATGAGCATGTGTTTATGAATCATTGTCAAATAGTGATGAAATTGTGATTCATATGCATAACGAAACAGAGGGGAGCGCATTTGGTGCCCATGGAGATACCTACGTCTTGCTTTAACGTCTTAACACCCAAACTTTACTTAGATGTTATCAACGAGGAAGTCAAGCATTTCACATATTGTTTTCTCAGTAAACTTCTGATGGTATTTGCTGATGGTATTGGCCTGAACCTCTGAAGATGGATATGAAATTATGTCACCACGTTTTTCAACTAACACGCAATGGATCAAGGAATGAAGTTTTTCCTTAACTTTGTCATGTGGGAAAGTGGTGTACAAAATTGAAACATCAAATGTTTGAACAGAATTGAACCACGTGGTATTAATTCCACTTGTCTCAAATACTTTCTGTGAGAAAGTCCTTCCTTGACTGTATTAAGAATTATGGTCAACAAATGAACCGGGGTTTCATCAATACCTGGTGTCATCACTGATTTTCAGTAATCCATTCATATCATTTGTACTGCTACTCTGCAACCGATTGGAATCTGTTGGAATTGTTCTGTACGTATCACCCATCCTCAGACACCATGGTAAAAGGCCTATAATTGTTATATTAAGGTTTGAGTTAACATGAAAACAGGCTTTTTAGTAGACTTATCATTATTGCTAAAATTGATTACAAACCCACAGGTATATTTTTTGCAGTTGATAAGATAAAACTATTATTCATCAAGTGACAATATTTCTATGTCCGCTTCTGCCTTGTCCTTTGACATCCGCTGTAATAGTTCTCTCAAATACAACGATCAACATATGGTTGTGACATGTTTCTCAATGTCTAATAAAGCAGAATAGCTGTCGCAGTGCATGTCACAATGACTCTCAATTGGTCGCATGGCTAACAATTGGTGGAGAAGGTAATATCGCAATGCCGAGCTTTCATACCTCCACGCCCCCATGTGTTTGTAACGTGGCGATTGCTAGTGCTTCATTGTTTTATAAAGACGAATGCGTTTTATATAGGGTCAAACATTGAAATTTCAAATCTAGGTTGCAGCAATTGATTGTGCAGGTTACGACTCAATCTTGCAACTGTTCTTCATTGGTTCGAATCTCATAGTCGTCTTTTACGATTCATTAGTCTGTCTGTATCATATTTGTGCTTGTGTGTTTTACCAAATTCGAAACGTCTACCATTGCTTCAGTTTTGCTTTACAACTCCTTACCATAACACCGTCTACGAAGACTCAGTGAGAAACTACGTAACTCCCCTAGCGCAAAAAAGTGTACGGTCATTGACGGACTAAAACAGCTGCGGACAAATAGTTCTTAATGTGACATCGTTTTATGCACAGATCGCCACTAACTACTGTTGATTATCATAAGCTATCACTCGTCACAATAAATGACTACTGCAACAGCCCAAGCAAGTTAATGTAGGCACGGTGTTGAAATTACATTCGATAAACATTTATCTGATATTCATGCGAACGTCACAGGATCTATGTTAATAGATGACATGCTCATTACGATTTTTAATGAATGTTGTAAACGTTGGAAATAGGGTATTAATTTGAACAAAACTAACATCATTCCTTATGAGTGAGTGAGTGAGTATGGTTTTACGCCGCTTTTAGCAATATTCCAGCAATATCACGGCGGGGGACACCACAAATGGGCTTCACACATTGTACCCATGTCGGGAATCGAACCCGGGTCTTCGGCGTGACGAGCCAACGCTTTAACCACTAGGCTACCCGACCGCCCCTCATTCCTTATGACCAAGCGACAAAAACTGTGATGGTGTAAATACATATATCAAAATATCGTTGAAGTGGAAGATCAGTACACAGTGTGTAATAAGGACTTTGCCCATCAACCATTATTATTATATGTTAATTTGTTTTGATTCTTTTTCACAATTTCACTACCAAATAGTACCAGGTGTTTGCGATAAGGTGAGCGTGTCCTGCCCCAATGGGGGCGCCCGTCACAAACACATGAAAAGGAATCACTATGGTTACTGATACGTCAAAATTGGAAATTGTTGTAACCCTGATCAAACAATAGTTAGCAAGAGTCATATGATGATCTTTGAAAAAGACGAAGCCTGCTTGATTCTACTTGATTAGATATTCTCCCCTTTTCGTCCAAACCTGGTATCATCACTATCTGATAGTGATTCATAAAGTACAAACTCATTACATAGGAGGAATTGTAGAATCGACTTTGCATTCAGTAGATATTTTTAATGATAATAGAAAGGTAATGTCGCTTTTATTTACAATGTGTGGTGCTCATTTGTGATGTTCCCGTTGGAATATCAGTGTTTCTAAACGCGGCCTAAAACCATACTGACTTACTCTACAAAGTAGTCTGGGAGTAGCCGGCCGCTCTGTGGTATGTTAGCTCTGGCACGCCTTGACTTCATCCAGTGTTTTAGCTGTCATGTGATCCGACAGCCAGTCAGCTTCACAGAAATCCCATTACTCATTTTATATCTGCTTAAATACACACTTCATCAAAGCTGGATTGACTCGCAGTGCAGGACGACACTATGTGCTTTGCTAACGAACGTGGTTCTTCCTGTCTATTTATCGCAAGCATCGCTTTATCTAGACGTTACAGACAAACACGATAGTCTTTTCCTATATAATGCAACTATGCTGTGTTCTTCCAGCATTCTGTCACTAACATAACGAGTGAATCCGGTGAATGAGGCTTGGCTGCCTAAAGACCATGTTACAACGTTCATGAATGACTAGTTCTCAACTCCAACGGTGCATTCTCAGATTCGTCTCGTCATAACTAGCCAGAGGTCATTGTGACTGGAGAACAGTAGCTCCAACTTGATGCAGTCCTCAAGGACTCGTAAGGCGATACTATTTTATCATCAAAATTAGTTCTGTGTGTGAGAGCCTTTGTGTATGTGACAGTTAGACACGATTTCAGGCGACCTACATAATTGCAGTGTAGTTGGCTAGCATTTCAAGAACAAAGCAATTGTAATTACTTACACAGTATGTTAATCCCAATCCCACTCTATGATGAAGCTTACAAAATAGCTAAATATTGAACAGATATTTTTCGCGGTCTTTTCTCAAACAGCGGAAGTCGAGACTTGATGTTGACGTTGGATTTGAGGGCTTTTGATCCAATAGTCATATTTTTCAAATTGAAGTACGTTCAAACAAATATCTGCTCTCCCGGTAGCATACGCCATTTTGCAAAATGTTTGTGCTTGTTGCCAAACGCCGCACAGAGCAAGACTCCTGCCACGACAATCCAGTGAAGTCATGTCTATTAAATACCTTACTAGGAGATGGCAGGCCGTCACACAGAAGCAAGGTTTGAGTTTTACTTCAGAAAGAACATGACACCACAACATATAGCGGACATGTTCGACGACTTTGCTGAGGACTACGAACAGGTAACAGAGAAATGTGCAACCGAAATAGCCACCTGCACATAAGTTATGAGATTGCTTAGAATACTTTTGGGCCAACTGTATGACCACTCTTGACTCACAAGTTACTAGACAAGGGTGACAAAACTCAAGGTCTTCGACGCATCTGTTAAACAAGCGTCGAAAAACGCAAGTTGAAATCTTTGTAGAAGGGTCATGTTCGATTGTAACTCAAAAGTTGTGTAGTGTAGACACTTACGGTTTGAACGCTGGAATGTTACTTGACATAAAGGGAAAAGTTCACTGTTGGAAAGTTGAAGTCCTCCTCTTGTGCCTTGTAGATGGTTTTTGTCACTGGGAATCTGCATGCCATGTAGTTCATGTCTAGAGATGTTGGGACTTAACACCTGTCTGGTTTATTATCTGTTATTGACTAAGGTCTTATTGAATTCTGCAGGAATATATGAACGTCGGTTTGAGAACGCATGTAGTTGTCGGAGATTTCATGGCTAAAACCATTCCAAAGGAAAGTAGACCAAAAGTGAAAATCTTGGACGTTGCTGCTGGCACAGGACTTCTTGGAAATGAGGTAAACATGTTCCATGTTAGCTGTACTGACTAATCTGGTAATAAGAAAGATCAACATGGGAAGTGATCATTTGTTTTGTTACAATCACACTTTGTCAGTTTTCTCAATGAACTATGTCCAGATGAAATAGAACTATTAGCACAGTAAAATGCCCTCCATATTCAACCATAGTAAGTTTGAAAGTTGGAACAGGCTTAAGTGTTGGTCCAGTAGATAACTGAAGTGTGAAGTACATAACCTGTATCTGAGCTTCTGCCCTTAATATTTTCCAGCTAAAGAATCGTGGCTTTACACACATCGATGCTTTGGATCCAGCCGAGAAGATGCTGAATGTGGCAAGACGTCGCAACATCTATCAACAACTCATCTGTGCATTCATGAAAAAGAACAGGAACGATACCATTGAAACAGGTGTGAAACATTAACAGCCTGGTGGTTAATTTCAATTTGGATGATGTCTGTGTTCAATATATGTCGAGATCATTGATATCATAACTACACGAATTGTAGTTTTTAAATATATGCATTCGACGTTTGTAAATAAAGTGACAAACCTTTCCCTGTTCACGGTTTTTTATTAATACTTTTTATGACTTTTTTATTGTAATGAAATGTGCTCAAATTCATTTATTCTGTGTACTTCCTCTGATTCTATGTTATATGTTGTTGTTGTCATTAAAGCTGAAATGTGGTGTTTGTTATAATTTTAGAAAGGCTCCTGTCACTTTCATGTGAACCGATTCTGTGATGCTTTGGTGATTTAAGTGCCTCCGTGGTGCAGCGTAAAAAGAAGCTGCTCGGCCTCTTCATTATAAAAAAATACGGACTGGAAATAAATGTCGGCCTGGAGTCAAACCTGCGTTCACGTCGCTAGATAAGTGCAATAATCTTGAACGCGACGTTAAACCCCATTTCACCTCACCTCACTTTGTTGCTTCAGACACAGTCTATGACTCTATGCTGAAGTATTTATGTAAAACAACATTTGATTTTCGTAAATAGTGTACTGTTATGTTCTAGATTGCTATGACAGCATTGTGGCATCGGCAGCTGTTAACGAAGGTCTAATTCCTTGTGACGCCTTTCAAGAAATGATCCGGATCGTTAAACCAGGTGAGACCGTCACAATACATAATATTCCGGAACTTAAACAAAAACAAGCTTGTAAGCTCTTAGGTTTTCAGTGTGGGAGGGTAATGGAACTGAGGGTAATGACATTTGGATGTAATCATCAATGGGCCATATCACTAATGTATCCACTCATTAATATGCTTTGTAGACACCTGTGTAAACAGAGAAAGAGTTTTATTTATTTTTTTCCATTGAAAAGAATTATCTGAAAGAGCCGAAAGTCCAATGAACATGATTCTTTTGCAACCTGAAACCAAATGTACATTAATTTTCAACAGTATTTTCAACAATAACATTGTATCAAAAAGATTATTCAACCAATCGCTCAATCGAACTCAAATTTATTGATACTCTCCAGGTGGTCGAATCATTTTCACGGTTCCAACCAAGTACATCAACAACTCCGACAACTTGCGAGACCGGTTACTTCCCCTTATATACCAGCTTGCACAAGAGGGCGTGTGGGAGGTCACCTCCGTTGCACTTGCAGATGGAGACCTTTCTAGTTTAAATGGCCCAGGGACTTTGTTTAGTTTAAAAGTTCTGGTGTCAGAAAAGACATTTTAAGTTCTAGGGAAGTAAATTCCATATTAGATATTTGTTGTTGGGCCAAAAGGTGTTTCTGTCAATATAAACAGTATTTAATATTTAACACATACATTATTTCTTGTTCATATCTTGTTTACGACTCGACCATGAAGTTCGCTTCATTGGTCACACGTATGTGTGTTTAGGATTAATGTCATCAAACCACTCAATGGTTCATTGTCACATGTCACATGGTGGGCGTTGCATCAATGACAATTTTGTTGTATGGGAATCCATCGGTCGCAAGGTTTCTGATTGGTCTACACTTGATATTGGTTGCACTGACGAGGAACATTTGAGTTTTTTGTGATTGGTTTCAAATTATTTTCAAGGTGTTTTATCCAACAAGATACGGTATACTGACTCCGAGCCGACCAGTCCTTTCTTTAGCCCATTAGGTGAGGTGAAAGAGGGTTTAACGTCGCATCCAAGATTATTGCACTTATATAGCGACGTGCATGCACGTGTGTGTGTGGCTGCTTGCACTAGTCCGGACTGATGCCGATTTATAGTGCTAGCCCACTGAGATACCATGCCGTGGTTTAACATGAATACTGACTCCGAGCCTACCAGTCCTTGTTTTAGTCCCTTAATGCCGAGCAACAGACAGGGTAACAACATATACCATCTTTTAACGTCTTTTGGTGTGACGCGGCCGGGGATCGAACCCCGGATCTTCCGCTCTCCGGGCGGACGCTCTACCACTAGACCACCGACGCGGTCCCTTTCTATAGTGAGATGAGATGAGTATATATATAATCAGACATAAGATAAGTAATGGGATTTCCGTGAAGCGGACTGGCTGATATGGTCGGATCACATGACAGATACACGCTGAATCGGGAGTGCTGGAGCTGGCTAACGAATAGAGACCGCAGATTACTCCCAAACTAGTTTATACATGATTGCATAGTAAATAGATAAGTTCTAATATCGTATATCAATGTATGTATCATATACATCTTATTCTTGTGAGTGTGGATGGTTGTGTGTATATATGTAAATATGCTCTTCGTGGGTTTCTTATTGGTCTGCGGACTGTATTGCTTCATGTTTTTTCTCCCACATTAGGCTGACAGACCGATATATAACTGAGAGTTCAAACTGACGTTTAACCAAACACACTTACTCAATGAAATTAATTGCAGGATTGCATTTTCTTAATGAAGAGGAATCATAAGAACGATGTTCGGGAAAAAGACATTTTAAGAAAATTCACTGTTATAAAATTTAATCAGATTTTTTTGTAAAACATTTTTCTTTCAGAAAATACCTTGAAAAACATTATTTTGCCTCAAAGTTTAGGAAAACAAAAACATTTCACTGCGTGTCCTGGAAACGGTTTTGTGGGACCCTCAAATTGTTTAGGATAGTCCTGACAGAGAAAAACTGTAACTTGAATAAAAAAGAAAATTGAATGGTCGTCTCCTTAATAAAACTGTATCCATTAAGTCTCTTTCAAGAAGACTGAATGTCGGCCAATCTGTCGTTACCGATGTCTTAACGCTTTACACACACGAAAACAGTACGTGACAGCCTAAGGCCAGGCCATCGTAGAGTCACAACACAAGTTATGGACCACGACCTTGTGTCCCCTGCCCTCGGGGCTCGAACTCTCACAACAAATGATTCCACAAGGAACCTCAGAGTTGCAACTGATACAAATATCAGCAACCAAACTTTAAAGGAACCGTTCCCAGAAGAGGTACCTCCGACCAAGACATCGGTTAGCCAGGCCGATTCCGCTTACCCATACCAGGGTTGCCAACTGAAGCAATGACTGGTGATATTTACGATGGTCATCTGTCGGTTTTCATGCATCAGTATAACGATGGAAGAATCGCCGACAGATGTCGCAGTGAACGCTTCCATGACGTTAACGTCAGGCACCACCATCAGTTTGGAGGTGACAGTGTTATGGCATGGGGCTGCCTTTTTACGTCATAGGAGCCGGCTTTGTCATTCACTACCGGACCTCACTCTACATCACCGCCGTTGGTAACGTCTTGAGACGTTATAATTTGAGGCTTTATCAATCACTACCGGACCTCACTCTACGTCACCGCCGCGAGTAACGTCTTGAGTCGTTACAAATTGAAGCTGAGATTTTTATAAGGAGCCTTTACTATGAGCCTAAATATATTTTTTCTAAGAAACACCTTTCAAAAATGCATTTTTTGTGGCAGACAAATTTCTAAACGAAGCGTGATATTCATTATTTCGGGGACACGACAGTATTTGGATAACATTTAGCTCATGTCTTAAACAGATAACTTGTTATGTTTTCACTCGTAGAGGCCACACAGTATCTGCCACATTCGGATATGGCGAGGTCGGATACTGCGAAAACTTGTCAACGACAACACCAAATGGAATCAAAAAGCAAAACATCGGTGTTTTTTGGCAATTACAAAAGAACTGACGCGCAAGATTTAAGATTTCCGAGAGACATTTCCTTTATTCAGCCCAAGTTCAGGCGTGAGGAACAATTTGGAAGAGTAAGTCCTATATTGTGAAATGGTACACACATAAAAAGCGACAAAATCAATCTGATTCATAAGAAATTCCGGCTATATCACGTGCATGTGTTTATGAATCACTATCAATTAGTTATGAAGCCAGGTGTTCGCGAAAAGGTGAGCATAACCAACCCCACAAGTGGCACCCGTTACAAACACATGCAAAGGCACGGTAGGGATGAACGTCAGGAAAAACGGTTTGTTAACTCAGAGCTATTCAGGGCTTCAGGAGAGACTCAGCAGAGTCTCGCAATTATCATTATATGAATGTTCAAGACAGTATCATTATCAATAATAAATTTTAAACTAATATCAGCAGTTTGGTTACAAATAATCTACTTTATATAACCGTGACGTCTAACCTCTCACTTTGTCCCAACGTGATCAATTTGAGGCGTACAGTAAACTACGGTTGTAACGAACTCAAAGGGATCACAAATTTTAGTTCGTTATAACCGTAGTTCGTTATAAGCATATATACAGCAAATAGCCGGGACCAAAAAACCAGTTCGTTATATCCGCCAGTTCGTTATAAGCGTGTTCGTTATAAACGTAGTTTACGGTACACCAATACGCCATGTCTTCACGCGAACCCCGAGTGACATCACTACTTGATAGTGATCCTTAAACACATGCTCATGATATAGTCGAAATCGTACAATCGACTCTGATTTTAGCAGCGATTTCTTAGGAATATGGAAAGGGTTTTATCGCCTCAAACCGTCAGTTCGACATTTCGGTGGTTTGGTTTTCCAAATGGATAAAATGATTGAAGGTAAATCTTAGTGAATTGAAAACTGGTTTTATTATAACTTCTTTTATAGGCATTTAGAAGTTGGAGTACTAAGTAAGGATAGGAATTTATGGATGAACAACTTCTTTATACAATTAAGAGCGACGTTTCGGTGTAGGTTCTAACACCGTTATCAAGCAAGTGATTTACAGAGTGTGGTTGGCAAGTATATATACAAGTAGGAGGCAATGTTTATACAGTAGGGTAGATATTGTTATATTGGAGTAGAGAAGCCTGTTATGTACACACAAGGGTAGTGATGACAATCATCGGCGAAGTCAGTGACATAAACAAAGGATGAAGCCAGTAATATAAATCTGTAAATCACTTGCTTGATAACGGTGTTAGAACCTACACCGAAACGTCGCTCTTAATTGTAATAAAGAAGTTGTTTATCCATAAATTCTTGTCCTTACTTGGTTTTATTATTTCAAAAATATAAAACAGTTGTGATTCATTGGGTGTGCAGTGGGATACATTAAGCCAAAAACATATATTGGGATGGCGAGTAAGATTCATTTACAGAAATTTAGCATTAGCCATTCACCGCGACTTTATTGGATTTTCTTAACATATCGAAGCATACGCCATGGCACTAAATGAATAGCGTAATTAGTTTAATTCATCACAGCTCGTACGTGTTCGATTGGGTCATGTCTGGCTGTGAGTGCTGTATTCACTAAACACTATTTTATAACAGGTGGATATTTGGTGTAACAAAGCGTCACTATGTAGTAAGAGGATTAGCGGTTACCATGTTTGTAACACCCAAACACCACCAGGCTTACCGCGTACATGTACTTCAGTCGCCAAACTATGCCTGCACACTGACAGCGACACACACACCAGGACAAGGTGAGCTAACTGTTTCAGTCTACTCTAGTATATGTATATATTCAGCAGTTAAATCAGATAAATCTAGATTTCTGCTTCTTCATTTTTTGTAACAAATGTTTTCATTAAAAACAGTTTATCGACAGGGTGGGAAGCGGGGAACCTTTCTTGTTGTTTATAATTTCCAAAATATGTAGAAACGTGTTAAGGAGGGTTCTTATATCAGGTGTGTGTGCACACAGATCTCATATTGCGGCATTTCTTGTATCCCCCTCGCTGATTGCTGGAATATTGCTAAAGGCAGCTCGAAACCGTACTCACTCACTCATACTGCGAGACACTATGCAAAGAATTGTAAAACGTCAATGCTAGAGAATAACCAGTCTCGATTATCCGCCGAAATAGATTCCAATGATTCGACATAAAAGGAAAATTAGCGGTGAAAATTAGATGAATGGATCATTGAAAATCAGTCATGACACCAGCTGTTCGTGAAAAAGGTAAGCATATCCTGCCTTACCGGTAGTACCCGTAACACATACAATTTGCTTAAAGGGGCGGTCGGGTAGCCTAGTTTGCACGCCACGCCGAAGACCCGGGTTCGATTCCCGACATGAATACAATGTGTGAAGCCCATTTCTGGTGTCCCCCGCCGTGATATTGCTGGAATATTGCTAAAAGCGGCGTAAAACCATACTCACTCACTCACTCATTTTGCTTAAAAATAAGTGCTGCCTGAAGCCGCACAGGAAAACAATATGTTTTTTGTTTCCTCTCTGAGTTTTATACAGAAACTCCATTTCATTTATGTCAGTCCTAAAACACGAATATGTGTGGTATGTTGGCCATACATGTAATAATCAGACTGTACCTTCTTTGTGTTAATATCGTAATGAAATGTCTATAGAACTTATAAATCAAATTAGATTCTTTCATGCTTGATTAGTTAGTTTATACCACATGGATATACAGCAGAGAGAAAGTTTTCAGTTGAAAGAACCTTGCATGTGTTTGTGACGGGTGGGGCAGGATACGCTCACTTTTTCGCGAACATTTGGTGTCATCACTATTTGATAGTGATTCATAAACATGATATAGTCGATATGCTCATGATATAGTCGATATGCTCATGATATAGTCGATATGCTCGTGATATAGTCGATATGCTCATGATATAGTCGATATGCTCATGATTAAGATACAATATACCTTGCTAAAACTTGTAAACTGTGCGAAAGTTGTATATACCCGCGTGTTCGTTATGTGATTCAAACACCATTTGGGGACGAACTCCCTCTATTTTGATCATTGAGAATTCTTTACTGGAAGACACACAATACTAACAGGTGACTATTACTAAAGGTACCGACCCGTGAAGATCCGGGTTCAAATAGGTCTTCAGCAACCCATACTTGCCGTAAAAGGCGACTATGCTTGTCGTAAGAGGCGGATCGATGCTCCTGATGTCAATCACTAGATTGTCTGGTCCAGACTCGATTATTTACAGGCCGCCGTCATACAGCTGGAATATTGCTGAGTGCGGCGTTAAACAACAAACAAACAAATACTAAAGGTACCAGCATATGTATCGAAACGTCGCATTGAAGGAAAAAAGGGGAAATCCATACGGCGATGTCTTCACCCATGTTTATTTGGAACACTCTTCACAACAGACGGGGGATGGGGGCACGGGTGGCCCAATCGTCTAGGGCGCCGCGATTCGCTGTGCAGAGTTGCGTGATTCGATGTGCAGAGTTGCGTCCCTTGGGCACGCCAGAAACCTATGATTGTGGGTTCGAATATCGGCTCGCGCCGATTATGTTTCTAGGTTTAAATTGTCAGCACCATATACGTGCTCGTAGGTTTCACCGAAGTGGTAAACGTCTGAGACCTGCATCACTTCGGGCTTTCCTCCCACATTAAGCTGACACGCCGTGATATAACTCACTCACAACAGACGGGTATCTACCCATGGAAAATTATCATAGTTTATTTTGCAAGTACAACTGAACGTATTTGGGTATGAAGCGACCTGGGGATGAACCACTGACCTAGGCAGTGTCCATTAGACCACGGAGGCGGTCTTTATTTGTACAATATATATCGATGGGATCCGGTGGAGTGTAATAGTGACCAATCTCGACCCAAGGGAGAAGGTATGATAGGGTAACGGTACGGCTAGATGTGGACTCCAGGTTGTCCATGGTGCTTTCCGTCAACAATCAACCACTCTAATCAGCAAGAACAACATGGCGGCATGTCACGTGATCCTACGTGGGAGAGTTTGGTGTTATACAGCCGCTCTGATATACAACATAATTGAGCATATTGCCTGCTATTGTTTATTTCGGCCATTTGATTACTTTCTACTGAATGAGTGTTGTTTTCCGCGTTAAAAGTTTGGCTTTGTAGGTACAACGAGTAAATCCTACAAATCCTGTCGTGTTGTGGCTCTCATTATAATCAGATCTGTTACTCTGAGCAATGGCACTTTCCGTTAAAAATATCCTGGCAAGTGAACTTTCTAAACAGCCAATAAGCCTGTAGGCTTCTGAATTCTCGTCCCAAGCACAAGAAGTTTGTATTATAATAATGAAATGTTAATATTAGTTTTATTATTGGAAACCCTCTCTATGATTAGAAACACTAAGAATAAACTGAATAAACAAAACAGTATGCACCTCTTGCATATATCGTGTCGTGTTTCAATTAGGAAAACAATGCATTCGGGAAATATACCTCGATACGATCTCCGTATTAATTGAAATTAAGCTATCACTACATTGAAAACACACTGTATCCCTAAATGTCTTAACTGCACGATTGTGTTCGCGGGGTCTGTTCATGTTGTGTTATATCACGTATTTAAATAGTCTATTCAATAAAATAATTTGATCTTTCCAAAGAAGTAATAAACATATTTCATTATGTCACATAAGATCACACAACATGAGCAGTACTAAAAGCAATTGTCGACGCCATGCAGATTTCAAACTGAATAATTATGGACTGTCAGACTTTCTTAAGTCAAGAACGAACTGTTTAAAAAAACACAAAGCTTGTTGAATTTTTAAAAACTCTTAAACTTAACTATTGTCTGATTTTCTTCATCCTGCCATATATTAAAACTATGCAAGGAAAATGTAAATAGTTAGGATACTTTTGAATACCTCGAAAAAAAATAACAGTTTAAAAAAAGTACCAAGTATATTGACGAGGTGGGTGTATTCGGTATTCGGACGTGAACATACATAAAGCACTGTGCATGATCCAACTCCTTGCACGAACATACTTGAGGTAAACAACAGTGATCAAAAATCGATACTGCCATGCTCCCGGTCGCCGATATCATTCATATTGTTCGTGTCTTTGTGAGAGGGCTGCCGTATCACGCTTCACAGGTTGTGTTCGGTAGGCAGATCGGGACTACCACATGGATCAACAAGCCAAAACCTGTCTACATATAGTGGTGTTGCCAAGGTACTCACCTACCGCCTCTTTTCTTTCAGTATGTAAACTGATCGGATTTGTTTTGTTATAAGTTGTATTTCGTTAGCTTTCGAAACTGAAGCATTTAATCCATGGGCGATTATGTGAAATTCCTAAATGAACCGATAGTGAATAGTTTTGCTAATGACAATTTACACTTATTCATTTACACTAGCAACGACGTTCACATTGAAAACCAAAAAAGACCCCGGAGGTTTAATATATTAGATTATATGCTTTTGAAACATAGGTGCAGGCATATATAACACACGGTTGCAACAGAACAATCAACCCACCTAATCCCACTTGTGTGTCTGGTATTGTTGAGTGTAAACTTGATAAACTTATGGCCCTTTCTACTAATATGGCGTTTTGGAAAAGTAGAGGTTATTATGCAACGCCTACCGTAATTGGTCAATCAGTATAAATAGGTAAATAGGAGACTAACTGAGAAACTTTCAGTTATCAAGATTGACACGGGTTGACCTGTAACATATCTACTAATCAAAGAATGTGCACTTGTGATATTTCTTTCTTTCAGGTGTAAATTGGTAGATGATGTTGTTTGAGGATTGTAGATTAGGGCAGTGGTTAAAGAGTTGGCCTGACACACAAAAAGTTTCTGTCGATTCCCTATGTGGACTTAATAAGTTTTTAACCAAACCGAGCAACGTGAGTCTTGAGATCATATCATTGCAAAGACCAATCATATGTGTAATGATAGTATCAAATTTAATTTGTACAAATAACAGTTCAAATATACGTAATTAAACCAGCTGTTGCGAAAGTTTATCGAGCGAATAATCTCGCCGACAGCATGCCAGAGTCAACAATCGAAGGCGTCTGAATCACCATGTCGATCACCCGGAATATAAATGATAAAGAGCAGTGTCGACACGGGTCCTTTCCTTTGGAGTGTTAATGTCAGGTTTGTCGTCCCAGTGTGCCCCTGTCCGGGAAACCCGTCATACACAGAACAACCACATAATAGACACTGATTTATGGCGAGGAAGCACATCGAAGATTTTTCTGTTGGTCAAAGTGTTAAGCTTGAAGATCAGAGAACACACGAACACGAGGCGAACATGTCGGCTGGGACAGGTCTGGGGGTGGAACTGACTGATATAACCTGAGGTAGGGCATGCTTTCTCTTTTCGCGAGCAACTGATGTCATCACTGATTTTCAGTGATCCATTCATATAAATGTCACTGAAAGTTTGTCTTTTACGCACCATGGAATCCGTTTCGTCGGATAATCGAGACTGGTTATTCTCTGGTGTTGATGTTTTATATTTAGTTAGGGAGTCTATAGGTATATTTTCATGTACTCGTGTACCTGTTCTTCACAGTCTTGACGTTTTAAGCCGTAGTTGTTGGTCATGCGTGTGTCGAGTCCCACGGGTATACGCGCCAGGCGACACAGTCCACTGGGTTGTGTTTCTACTAGCAACCCCCGAGGCGATTCTGCGGTCAAATTGGTTTGTGATACAATGACATGCAGCAACCAAGTCAGCGAGCCTGACCACCCGATCCCGATAGTCGCCTCTTACGACAAGCATGGGTTGCTGAAGACCAATTCTAACCCGGAATCTTCACGGGACTGTAATGCTTGTAGTTGTTAAGAGCCGTCAAATGACGATTGGGTGGCTAGGCTCTTGGCTGATCTTGGATGTCAAGGTACCCGGTACCCCTGGGCCCACTTGCACAAAGCGATCTTAGCGCTAAGATGATCTTAACTCCCATACTTTAACATAGGCTTACAATAGTTGTAGCGCTAAGTTCGCTTTGCGCAATAGGGCCCTGGATCGTTCCTCAGTCATCAACCAATGATTTGTCTAGTTCAGATTCCATTATCAACAATTTGTTGTGTTATAGCTTAAATATTACTGACCGTGGAATTAAACAACATTCAGTCACTCTTCTGTCGAGGTATATATTAATTAACAAAGAAGAACCCTTGCGTATTCTCGAGCAGAATAGTCCCCTAGTGAGTGAGTGACTGAGTGCATTACGGACCGCCTCCGTGGTCTAATGGTAGAGCGTCCGCCAAAAGACGCCAACCACATATACACACATAGCCCGCCTCCGTGGTCTAGTGGTAGGGCGTGCGCCCTGAGAGCGGTAATTCCGGGGCTCATACCAAAAGACTTTAAAAGATTGAACTTCTTGTTACCCTGTCTGACGCTCGGCATTAAGGGGTTAAAAGAAGGACTTGTCGGCTCGGAGTCAGTATACTGTGTCTGAGTTGGGTATTCATGTTAAACTGCGGCATGGTATCTCAGTGTGCTAGAACTACATTGTATAAATCGGCATCAGTCCGGACTAGTACAAGCAGCCACACACACACACACACACACACACACACACACACACATACACGTGCATGCACGCCGCTATATAAGTGCATTACGGTGTCTGAGGCGAATGGGCCACGGGTGCCCCAAGAACCGTACTACCCAATGATTGTCGTGAGCATCGACCTATAAGGATTATGTGTCTTGACTGCCTGTGTGACTCCCTGTAACATGGGGCGGCGTTCATACTATCAACCACTTGTCTGTGAGTCCCAGTTTTATTTATTACAGGCCGTCGAGATTTGACCTCAGCGAACAAGACACACTCACACAACAGAATATGTGTTCAATATAGAAAAATACATCCTCCTGCAAACGGTTACGTCTTCAAAACATAACTAAAAAATATCATTCAGTTCATGATAAACTTCGTTCCATGTTCAGTGAAATGCATGGCATGATAACCTTGATTTGAGATCAGAAAGTAAACACTACCCAGACAGTGTAATAATTAGTCTGTCAAGTGTGTGTATGTGTGTGTGTGTGGGGGGGGGGGGGGGGGGGGGGGGGGGGGTAGTATGGGGGGGGGGGGGGGTTGTTTAACGCCGCTTTGTAAACTATTGGGTCATATAACGACATATTAGCTTACAATTGGGAATGCTTGACGCTTACCACTTTGTTGAATCGAACCTGCAGAGATACTGACTGACAAAACCAAGGTTCATAATCGATGTGAATCTGTGTGACAGCAGATCCTGTCACAAATAGGGGATGCAACTCTGCATTGTGAATTTCGGCCTAAATACATTCAAACATGCCATTCGAAGCAACGTTTACTCACTCACTCCAACTCTGCCGTTTGAAGCAATATTTACTCAGCCATTCATTTCAACTCTGCAATGTTGACCCACCGATAACAATTCATTCCTATGCCTTTGCTTAACGCCGTTACGTGATGTGTTAATTCCAGAGGTTAAATCTTCGTTAGGCCTGCAAACAGAGGGGAATATTCCGGTGGTAATTTTAGCTCATACTTCATGGAAACACGAACATTCAATTCCTACTAACTGAACTAAACTGACTAATCTATATTCATTTACAACTAAAGGTATGAGGCGGCTTGAGGCCAGTACAAGTTTTCCTAAATTATTTGGTTTGTAGAGATTACTATATTTCCAATATATGAAATTAGTGATTCTTGTTTCAAAGTGACTATAAACCGCGGTGGCCAAGCCAAAGTCTTCTATGGCCTAGAAAGAAGAAAAAAAATAAAAGCTGGCATCAATATGCATGTACAGTAAACTACCTTTATAACGAACATGCTTATAACGAACAACGTATATAACAAATTAAAATAAGGGGTCCCCTTGAGTTCATTATAACTGTAGTTAACTGTACATGTAATAGTATCAAAGATATTCGATCAATAAATGAGGCGTCCCAGGTTTTTACTTACTGTCCAAACTGAAAAAACATTGTTGCCACAGAATCCCCATTTCAGCCCTATGTCACGCAGCACAGTCAGCTAGCAGTGCGGGTGGCTTTGTACAGAGATGGCGCATGTATAATAACGTGTATTTCTTGCTCATTGTGGTATGATTTCTTTCTTCCAGGAACTCTACCGATTCACAAACAGAAAGATGGGTATCACGTCGAGCGTTACTCACACACGTATGTACATGTACTGGTCAAATCCCCGCGGGGAATCCGTGTTAGAATGGTCCCTATTAACATACCGGTCGGGAGAGACGACTTAATGGATCGGACGGTCAAGCTCATTGACAGGTCGATAGCGTGTCATCGTAACCCTAAGGTGGGGATCGATGTTCACTAATCAATCACTGGATTGTCTGGTCCAGGCTCGATTATTCACCGACCGTCGCCCTATAGTTGGAATATTGCTGAGCGCGGCGTTCAACATACAGATAATAGCGATAATCAATATTGATTCAATGCATTAATTGATTAATCAGATATGGATTAGTACAAACGTTGAAAGCAGTCGTTCACTTTTTCATTATGGTGGACACGGATGGTTAAGTGACCCGAGAGATCCGGGTAGAGAATTGATCTTCAGCAACAGATGTTTGCCGTAAAAGGCGACTATGTTTGCCGTAAGAGGCGACAAACGGGATCGGGTGGTCAGGCTCGTCGACTTGGTTTGATGCATGTCATCGTATCCCACTTGCGTAGATCGATGCTCATGGTATCAGCCACTGGATGGGTCCGCCCAGAGTCGATTATTTACAGACCGCCGTCATATAGCTGGAATATCGCTGAGTGTGGCGTTATACAAAAAAGGAAAAGTAGTCCAAGTGTTGACATCTAAGGGAAACGACTCTGCACAGCATATTAACATAACAACGCATCAAAAACGGGAGATAACTGCTGCGAATGCTACACGAAAATGAAGATGTAACCTGTTATACCTTCCAGAGGAACCAATCCCCAGGTGGATCTACACGGTCAAGGTCAAGGACGAGTATGCCGTGGACAAGTTCGACGCCTTCTCCGAAGGAATGTCCCACGTCACCCCCACCACCATGACGAGAAGCAGGGTGAGTAGCGTCGTCCTCTCCCTCGGGGTGCTTCCAGCTTTCATCTCAATGTAACTGTAACGAGGGTGAGTGAGTGGGTTTGGGTTAACAGTATGTCAGTTTTATGAGTGAGTGAGTGAGTTGGGGTTAACGCCGCTTTTAATAGTATTCCAGTTATATCGCGGCGTGTCAGCTTAATGTGGGAGGAAAGCCCGAAGTGATGCAGGTCTCAGACGTTTACCACCTCGGTGAAACCCACGAGCACGGATATGGTGCTGACAAACCTAGAAACATAATCGGGGGAACCGGGATACGAACTCACAATCATAGGTTTCTGGCGTGACCAAGGGAAGCAACTCTGCACAGCGAATCGCGGCGCCTTAGACGACTGGGCCACCCGTGACCTCCATGTCAGTTTAATGACTGCAGCTGGATTGTGATGGAAATCCTAAAGTGATGCAGGCCTTATGTGTTTATCATTTGGTGAAACAAACCTAGAAAAATATTCAGTGCAAACCGGAATAAAAACCTACCGTCATACGTTCCTGGCACGCCCATGGGACGTAACTCTGCACGGCGAATTCAGGCGCTTAAGACGACAGAGCCACCCGTACACTCACTCTGTGTTGAAATGATTGAATTGAATTAATTGAATTAAGTTAATTTACTGAAGTATGAACTCAGAATAACATTTGTGTCTTTGGGCTTACTCTCAACATCAAGCTGCAAACCCCTAATGTAAATACAATACTGTTCAAAGCAGCTTAAAACTAACTCACTCACTCACGCGGTAGACATCTGTGCCATTCTACAACATAATTTTACGTTGAATTAGATCAAATTCAAAGAATTATTAGAAATATATACATTCAGATATATAAACAAATTACACATTTCGCAATTAACCCATGCGCTTTCAAACTCAGTCGTTAACAAATACCGTTAAATACTGCTAATCGTGTGTGCGTGTCTCTATGTGGTGAGGTGAAATCCAACGTCGCATCCAAGATGAATGCACTTATAAAGCGACGTGCTTGCACGTGTGTGTGGCTGCTTGTACTAGTCCGGACTGATGCCGAGTGTATAGTACTAGCCCACTGAGATACCAAGCCGCTGTTTAACATGAATACCCTCCCCAGACACAGTATACTGACTCCGAGCCGACCAGTCCTTGTTTTAGCCCCTTAAAGCCCCTTTAGCCCAGACAGGGTAACAAGAAGTTCAATCTTTTAAAGTCTTTTGGTATGAGCCCCGGAATTTCCGCTCTCAGGGCGCACGCCCTACCACTAGACCACGGAGGCGGGCTATGTGTGTATATGTGGTTGTATGTATGTGTGTGAGTGTGTGTATGTGTGATCGTGTGTTTATGGCATGAGGGTGCTGTTTCCATATAATTACTGGGATTAATTTCCAGATGAACGAGTTATGAGTCTTTTCCAAAAGGGGATTCCCTGACATCGCTGCTTCTTGCTATTTCAAAGACAAGTAATTCCATCGTGTTCTCTTTCTCTATACAACTATACTATATAATACCTCATACATTCGTAGCTATCTCTGACAATGCTTACAGTCGTATGTCTCTTCCAGCCCGGCAAGTTCGACACGGATGCTGCCCGCTGGAGCCGTGGTTTCACGACTGGCAAGCACGTGTTCGAGATTGTCTACCCAACAGCCCACAGGGGGTCAGAAGCACCTGTCGGCGTGGGGCTAAAATCTGCACCCCTACACAGCAAGGGGCGGGTCACTCTGATCGGCCACAACAGGGAGTCGTGGGGAATCGACCTGAGATCGAGAAGAGCCTACCACAACAACAAGGTGGTGAAGAAGTACCCCCAGTCCCAGCAGATACTCCCGGACAAGATCTTCATGTATCTTGACGTCGACTCTGGCACCCTTCAATTCGGCTCTGACGAGCGGTACTACGGGACTGCCATAACTGGCATCAGAACCGACGGGGAGCCTCTCTACCCAATGATCGGCAGCTGTCTACATGGATCCACCATCAGCATGGTGTACAGAGGGGAGGGTAGGTTGCTCTGTTATATACTCTGTTACTCAGTTTTAGAAATAATTCGTGTCAAGGGATTCTTCATCTTCCCGAGGCAAGCGTGTCCACCTGTCTATATCAAAGCCTAGTTTATACCCTTGCCAGATCAAAGCCACTTTTCTTGACTCGACCCTGGCGCCACCTCACCTAGATCACGAGTTGTGTCCCTTGTAATGAAAACGCGATCTCCTTTCAGATTGCTGTTCTTATCTCGTAAATTCACAAAGATGGCGACTACCATAGGCGACGACTTAGTCGATCAGATAACGAAAACATTCGCCATTTCATCCCTGACACAAAAACATAGGCAATCTTCGTGGGGTTAAAAGAAGAAAAAGACATATTGGTATCAACAAAGACAGGCAGCGGTAAAGCACTTTCATACGAAGGTGTACAAGTCGTGCGTGTTGTTTTTGTGAAACGTTCTCTGATTGGACTTTCGATGTGTGCGGTAGTCCAATCATATTTAGCACAGGAAACATGACTTTGGTAAAAAGGCAAGGGGACGGACGCTCTTGCCACGGGAAGATGAGGGATTTTGGACCACATGTGTTATATTTGCATGTGCAAGCATGTTTTTCACCTGCACGGAATATGTTTTAGAAAATTTAAAGGTTTTATATTTTGAGGTGATATTGCAAATGGTTCGATAACGAAATGATTTGCTGCCACATTTCTATTACAAACAACGTCCAGGAAGTAAAATGATAGGTTATATCTTGTGACATGTCGAATACTGGTCTGGTGGGTCATTTAAGCTCATTTGAATTCCTTTCGTCGTTCTTGTTTTAAGAATCAAAAATGAGTTTGGTGAAAAAAGATATATACAACAGGGGCCACTACAACATTGCAATCATAGCGCTACGATTATTTATTATTTTAACACCAATTTTAACTCTTCGTAGAGCCAGGATTGCTTTGTGCAATGGACACACAACTGTCTCTGCTATAGACGAAATTAATTAGATGAAACTGTCTGGTCTGGTACAGGTGTACACTGCCGGGCGGGAGAAAGTATTTGATTTGGATCTGACCCAAAAATTATCAAAACGTTACTTGGTTGACAAATGTTGTGAGATACTCATTGATAAGTATTATGGTTGTAATTTCCGCATCAAATATTGCACCGTCGAATAAGCATTTCTTCTTTGTTTCATTCCCCCCCCCCCCCAAAAAAAAAAAAAAAAATGGGTGAAAACTTTCTTTTGCCCAGGAGTTGGTTGTAGTATAATATTTACTTCGGAGAAAATCAACACTTACTCACCCACTCACCATGTGTTTGTAATGCACTTGTTTCACACTTTCATATACCTAACATCTGCACATCCAGGTATAGTGGTGGAGGGATACCTCAGGAAAAGGCGAAAATCACATAAAGCATTCCTCTGGACTTAAGTGTGTACCGCCTGTTTCCTGACAGTGCTTGACTTCCGGACCGATGTCACAAGACGGGCGACTTTGTTTTAGTTCTCAATGAACGATGGTTGTGACATTAGTCTTTGTGTAGAGACTGGTAGAGGACCTACGTCAGCTTCTAAGATGCTTCAAAGATGCTTGAAAGTGCCAGAAACTGACATCAAAACCGAGAAGACTGTATGTTGTACCTAGTGTTGAAACTGATATTCGTAGAACAGTCGACTATCTCAACAGATTTGTGACTTAACACATGTATCTGCAAAAACAAGAATGTGTGACAAGTTTGGATGTCAGGTTTGACAGAAACGTTCGTTCCCTACGTATACAGGGCAGGATTCTGGGCACGTTTAGATATGACGACATGCTTATAATGGTATATGTAGATACGTACCTTAACGGAAAGTAACACTGATTGCATTTGAATTTGATCCAGTATTATATTTTATTCTGCAAGCATGTTTGTGTTCTAAGTGACGTAGTCGAGCGTGAATCTTGACATAAGTGATGCGAATACGGAAAAGTAAAGAAGAAAATGCCTTGTTGGAAGCCGGTCGAGCTCTACGCATGTATTCCGCCGCCCTTCAGCTGTAATCCAGCATGGTAATGGTCATAGGCATGTCACAGTGAGTTAACATATTGACGTACAGCACGTGTATTTTGCACAATCACCTACTTATAAGTGAAACATAACTGAATATCCGTTGCTCTTCAGCAACAATGTACATGATATAACAGTTAATTGAGTTCGTTATTTAATCATGTCTGGAATATTTCTGCACACCGAGAGGTTCTGGGGTTTGTTTGTAGTGAGTGAGTGAGTTGGGTTTAACGCCGCTTTTAACAGTATTCCAGTTATATCACGGCGTGTCAGCTTAATGTGGAAGAAAAGTCCTAAGAGATGCAGGTCTCAGACGTTTACCACTTCGGTGAAACCCACGAGCACGGGTATGGTGCTGACAAACTTAGAAACATAATCGGGGCGAATCGGGATTCGAACCCACAATCATAGGTTTCTGGCGTGCCCAAGGGACGCAACTCTGCACAGCGAATCGCGGCGTCTTTGACGACTGGGCCCCGTGCCCCCGGTTTGTTTGTAACGACGTTTTTTACGCCAGCTTTTCTGTGATTCAACCATGGCTGTAACCATGGTACCTAAACCAATGCATCCCGCCTTGTTGTTACAGCTGCAGATGACCTGACAACAGTGACGACGACGACGACGGTGGTTGTGAACCAGCAGACTCAGATGCAGCCAGACCCATGCTTTCAAACTATGGCTGTCCCACCCCCTCAACCAATGGACCAGTCCCAACCCCCCGTGGAGCAGCAGCAGCAGCAGCATGCCATGCCCCCACCCCAAGAATCTACGGAGCAGCACCTACAACCCACGGCTCCACCCCAAGAATCCACGGACCAGCCTCAAGAAGACACGACCCACCCAGAGGAATCCAAGGACCAGCCTCAACAAGACACGACCCACCCTAAGGAACCCACGGACCAGCCCCCACAAGCCACTACCCAGCCACAAGAACCAACGGACCAGCCATCGGTGGCGGCTGTCCCTCCACCCAGCCCCGTATACGATGCTCCCCCACAGCCCGATATATACTCTTCTTGAGTGCATTGTGTTTGGGGGACGGGATTGTAAATAAAACAGTATCACGTAATACGTGTGGTTTTGTTATCAATGCAAAAGTGATGTTTCTTCTTTTGTCTTTAGACCATCACCAAAACCACAAGAGGTTTTCCATATATCCATAACATCGTCAAGACAAGACGTCAAATAATGTTCAAACTTGTCTAATGTGCGCTATCCTATCCGAAGCACTGGGTGATCATGCGCTGTCCTACCCGTAGCACTGGGTGATCATGCGTTATCCTACCGGAAGCACTTGGTGATCATGCGCTGTCCTACCGGTAGCACTGGGTGATCATGTGCTGTCCTACCCGTAGCACTGGGTGATCATGCGCTGTCCTACCCGTACCACTGAGTGATCATGCACTATCCTATCTAAAGCACTGGGTAATCATGCGTTGTCCTACCCGTAGCACTGGGTGATCATGTGCTGTCCTACCCGTAGCACTGGTTGATCATGTGCTGCCCTACCCGTAGCACTGGGTGATCATGCGCTATCCTTACCGAAGCACTGGGTGATCATGTGCTGTCCTATCCGTAGCGCTGGGTGATCATGTGTTGTCCTACCCGTAGCACTGGTTGATCATGTGCTGTCCTACCCGTAGCACTTGGTGATCATGCGCTATCCTTCCCGAAGCACTGGGTGATCATGTGCTGTCCTACCCGTAGCACTGGGTGATCACGTGCTGTTCTACCCGTAGCACTGGGTGATCATGCGCTATCCTTCCCGAAGCACTGGGTGATCATGTGCTGTCCTACCCGTAGCACTGGGTGATCATGTGCTGTCCTACCCGTAGCACTGGGTGATCATGCGCTATCCTTCCCGTACCACTGGGTGATCATGCGCTATCCTTCCCGAAGCACTGGGTGATCACGTGCTGTCCTACCCGTAGCACTGGGTGATCATGCACTGTCCTACCCGTAGCACTGGGACATCGTGCACTGTCCTACCTGTACCACTGGGTGATCACGTGCTGTCCTACCCGTAGCACTGGGTGATCATGCGCTATCCTTCCCGTACCACTGGGTGATCATGCGCTATCCTTCCCGAAGCACTGGGTGATCACGTGCTGTCCTACCCGTAGCACTGGGTGATCATGCACTGTCCTACCCGTAGCACTGGGACATCGTGCACTGTCCTACCTGTACCACTGGGTGATCACGTGCTGTCCTACCCGTAGCACTGGGTGATCATGCGCTATCCTTCCCGAAGCACTGGGTGATCATGTGCTGTCCTACCCGTAGCACTGGGTGATCATGCGCTATCCTTCCCGAAGCACTGGGTGATCACGTGCTGTCCTACCCGTAGCACTGGGTGATCATGCACTATCCTTCCCGAAGCACTTGGTGATCATGCACTGTCCTACCTGTACCACTGGGTGATCATGCGTTGTCCTACCCGTAGCACTGGGTGATCATGTGCTGTCCTACCAATAGCACTGGGTGATCATGTGCTGTCCTACCCGAAGCACTGGGTAATCATGCGCTGTCCTATCCGTAGCACTGGGTGATCATGCGCTGTCCTACTCGAAGCACTGGGTGATCATGCGCTTTCCTACCCGAAGCACTGGGTGATCATGTGCTGTCCTACCAATAGCACTGGGTGATCATGTGCTGTCCTACCCGAAGCACTGGGTAATCATGCGCTGTCCTATCCGTAGCGCTCGGTGATCATGCGCTGTCCTACCCGTAGCACTGGGTGATCATGCGCTTTCCTATCCGAAGCACCGGGTTGTTTTGTTTTTTAGTTTGATTTGTTTGTCGATTCAGGCCGCACTCAGCAATATTTAGACTAATTCCGAGGAACAATATTTCAGAGAACCCCAAAATGTATTCAGAAATTATATGCATAGAAATAACTGTGAAGAATTCAATCTTCATAGTAAAGCTAACATCTGGTCCTTGCCCCGTGTGCATTTATGTGGCAGAACATCTTCTGGGCATTCTGGATATTCAACGACGGATTGTATACTTAGTCATTCTTCTTGTAAGGTCTTCCCAAGCTGTTGCAAATTCTGGGAACGCTGATGTCGGCTGCGAACCCTTCGTCCCAGAACATACCAAAGGTGTTTAATGGGTGACATGTCTGGTGATTTGGCTGACCAGGACGATGTTGTGACACCTTGCTGCCTCAGACCTACTGCAGCACCAGCTCTGTGATGACGAACTTTAAGTTCTGACCTACGAGCTGGGCAAATGGGATGACCACTTAACGTGGTCATCACATCCGTCCTGCTGTCGTATGTGATGCCAGCCCAGACTATGATGCTGCTACCACCATACACATCGTGCTCTTGGACTGCTGCCGAGAAGTACCCCGCTCCACGCCGTCTCCAAACACGTTGTCTATCATCTGTAAAGCGTAAACAGAACCCGGATGCATCAGAAAACATGGTGTGTCTCCAATGCCGCTGTCCACGACCCCCAAACCGCAGTGACCACTGTTTTCTTAGGCGCCCGCGTGCCACAGTCAGACACATTTCTCTGAAACGACGTCTTGATTTCAGACCCGACGTTTCAAACAGTTGCGTATCGTTGACGTCACGGATCCCCACGGGGTAATCTATGTTAAAAAGTGCTCAGTTGAATTGAATTGATATCTCAACTTGAGTGCAAAGTCACAGTTTGACACACACAGCCCACCCCACACACACACACCTGTACGTTTACGGGACATTGTAATGTAATTTAGCTGTCTATTCGCAGCAAGGGGTCATGTCCCATTAGTCATACGCCCATTTGTCATACTCCCAATAGTTATACAGCAAAAGAGGAATTAGTTAAAACAACAATAGGCATATACCCTTTGGTCAAAATGGATTAGTCCACTAATTAGAAAGCTTGGGATTAGTTTAAATAAATACCTATGATGTTTTAGGAACAAGTACAGGATTCATCTCAAAAACTAATTTACTGTTCTTTACTGAGTTAAATCGAGTTTACTCAATTTAGTACATAAAAGTGTCTATGTTTTAGACTCTAGCATATCACTCTTGTTGTCATGGCAGGATTGATTGAAGTGGAATATGTTACTTCTAGGCGAGGTACACAGCAGGTACTGTTTCAAGGTCACCTTCACAACAAGAACTCTACAAAGGAACACTGTATCCACTGGAAGTGTGTCGTGAAAACTTGCCGTGTAAGAGTTACACCACTCCTGATAAACACGGCCCACAAGAACCTGACACTGTTAGATTTGTCAGTAACATGAGGAAGAGGGCCTGAGAAGAGATCACCCCGATGCCAACCTTGTACCAGGAAGCAGTTGCCCAACAATATGCTGAAGTAGTACCAAGAAGATCCTGGGGTCAGACGCTGGGTCAGAAGAGCATCATCCCTGGCTCTGTTACCGGAAGCTGACGTCCAAGATGCCTTGGTCGACGCCATGGACGATACGCCAGCACTAGACAACGCTCAGAGATTTAATGATTATATTGTAACAACTTGGGTTGGTGATGATGGCTAGATTCCCCATCCCTCTATGGAATCACCACCGAAACATTGGACCTCGCACGAACAATAATCTGGAAGGCTTCCACTACCGACTGAACAAGTCTCTGCCGCATCATCATCCAAACATTTATCGTTTTGTTGAACTGATCAAGCAGATTGAGAAGTCTGACTCTGCCAAGATGCGTCAAATTGACTTTGGTACTGCTCCCCAAGGCAGAAAGCGAGTATATCGCGAGAAGGAAAACCGACTCATCAGATTGTGGGACCAACTCCAAGTAGGCCAGAAAAACTGTGTTCAGTTTCTGGATGCTGCTGGTTATCTGTATCCAACTGACCACTAAATGTGAAACTGCAAACTCAAAATGTTAATATGTGATCCCGCGTTAATGATAATTTAACTTACAGTGATTACTTTATGTGATTATTTATGTATATATGTCATATAAGATTATAGGTCATTGATGATGATATGTGCTATGATGAATATATATGCTATGCTGAGGAGTATTAAAAGATTATTAAATGTTGTAATTTTGTGTTTCTGTGGATCATTCCACTTTAATTGTGGGTATTACAAAGGAAGTTGTTGGTGCAGTCAACCATACCATATGTTGTTTTAACCCGTATGACTAACGGGCCGTATGACTAATGGGAGGACACCGCAGCAAGGTAGATCATTTCATTGAATATACTATTCAACAGAAGTTAAGTACCACCTGAGTCTTTCATATCAATGTAGTTATTCTGACATAAACTGTTAATTTCAGCAACATAAAAGAATCGGGTGGCCCTTAACTTCTTTTGAGTAGTATACAAGTGAAATGAATTTTGACTGTATGACTGACGTCATCACGGTGTATACTTTGTTTGTTTACTTATTTGTGCAGTAGGGAAGCAAACAAGTAAACCTAACTCAAGAAGATATTCTGAATGTGTGGTTATCCTGAGCACGTGAAATAATAACAGACAGCGAATTCAAATTCATCTTTTAATATCAATATCAAAAAGGTAAAAAAGGTAATAAGCTCAAATAAATATATATAAATAAATCAACAACGGACATTGTACATAAAGCTTAACTCAACAAATATGTGTAAAATGGGGCATAAAAATGCAAAGTAAATAATGACTTCTGTGAAAGACCAGTAGGGGTGCATGACACAAATGGCAGCTTTTGATTTCTCTCGCGATCACATAAAATATCAATGAACCATCGCCTCTCAACATTTCCGTCACAAGATGGCTACATCTTCAACTTTCTCCCCGGCCGTGTGTCCTCAGTTAAGGCCTGACACATCGGTAAGCCGTCCTGTACGTGTCCTTCACAACTAAGGCGTATTTTAACCTGAAATTACAAAATAATAATTAGTTCATATCCAAACGAACATGTCAAAGAAATGATATTTTTTCATTTTAATTCTGTTATACCAGGCGACATATTGATGCATAAACAGTAAAAACGCATTACTTGAAGAACAGATGTAAGGAAAGGTAACTCTTTCTTGTTTTGGTCAGGGGAGACAACTCTTACCTAGTTTTGACACACGTTTTCCAGTGCCAGGGGCCACACTTGGCGACATACTCTTCCCGCACAACACGACGGTAGCTCCGTGTGTGTGGCACGGAGTGCTTCTCGTATTTGCATATTCTACAAATAGAAAAGTGGTGTCGTTCTGTAAGAAAGCGAAGGATAGATGAGAATAGGTTCAGCAGAGCAAGCAATAAGCAAAGACATACACAAGCAAGAATGGCGGAAAGCAGTTGAGAAAGTAACGTCTTGAAAAATGTAGAGTAAAAGCAGAGTCGATGAAGCGGACATAAAATCCCACTTTACTCTCTTAACAGGCGGGACATCAGCGAGTCGCATTTTTGTAGCAATGTGAAGAATCGAACTCAGATCTTCGGTGTGATGAGTGCGCTTTTTAAGTGCTTACACCAACACCCCTAATGTTCACGATTACACTGTGTGAATAAAGATATGTATTTTATGTGATTTGGAATGTAAACTTACCTAGTTTCACAGCGGCGGCCTTTGAAACCGGGTGGGCATTTACACTTGTTGTTCTTCCTGCACCGTCCTCCATTAAGACAGGCACTGCGACAACGTGCTGGGGAAAGAACAAAATCAGGTTAAAATTGTCGTAAATATCATATTTTTGTAATAACACTTAAATATTTGACACTTTAAAGTAAGTTTAGTTAATTTAATGTCAGGCAGCTTTATATGAAGACCCATGCTTACCTCTCTGACACCTTCGACCTGAGAACCCCGCTGGGCATGCACAACGATTAGGACCAGTACAAGTTCCGCCATTTTTGCATTTCTTGAAGCATTGAACTAGAACGAAAAAGGATTCAAATTAATAAAATATCATATAATTATAACAATTGGTATAATAAAATAATAAAAGGAAATTTACAAGTCAATCACGATAACAGAACTGTGATTAATTCAATCGAAGTGAGTGTTGGTTTTACGCCTTTTAATATTGTTCCAATCACGCCATCACACCCATCACACAATCGCTGTCGACACCAAGAATGGGCTCTTCGTATTTACATTAAAATATTAAGAAACTAAGGGTAGATATGTATTGTACTTACATAGTTGACACCGGTTGCCATAGTAACCTCCTCTACATCCGCACACATTGGGGGCGATGCATTTGCCGCTGTTTTGACACCTTGGTCGGCATTTGGCTGTAAAAGAACAATGAAAATATTTATTTAAGAACATAAAGTGTAATTAGAGAAAGATGTCGAAGTTCTTGTTTAAGAACGTGGAGTTATTCTGAAGAAACATTACGTGACTGTCTTTGACAAAACAACGTACCTTTCTGACAGTAGCGCCCTCTGTATCCACTCGGGCAGGAACAGCGGTTGGCAGCAACACACTTTCCGCCATTAAAACATCCACGCTTGCAGGTAGCTAGAATAAAGAAAAGAGTTTAGTTTGGTATGTTTTAGTTATGCAACAATACGATGCGTTACAAAGATTTTAACTTGTAATTGTTCTATATTGAAGTTAGCAGCAACTTATTGATATTAACTTACCAACTGAACAGTCTTTCCCCGTGTAGCCTTTCTTACAACGGCAGACATTATGCCGCACGCATTTCCCTCCATTGTGGCACTGCATAGGACAGTAGGCTGAAACAAGGGACATAACTCTTATTATAGTGAACAGACAAAAATATATTTTCGATTCGTTTTACATTACGGACAAGAGCAAATTTGCTTGTGTGTATATACAGATATTACTAAGTCTTGTGAGTTGACGAGTTTCTTCTGATTCGGTATTTTTTATTAAGAATCGGTACTTACGTTTGCACGTCGGCTGCAGGTAGCCGTATGGGCATGCGCACTTCCCCGGGGCAACGCAACGTCCGCCATTGGAGCATCCCTGTTCGCACTTGGCTGTGAAATATAACAAGGGTTATTATTATTTAGCTTAGCAAAAAGGTGCTGCTCTAGGAAATGAATGTTCTGTCTCGAATTTTAAGGAATTGAAAATGCAGTTTGGATTGGTAAGATAACCATTTTATGAAGTTTCGTTGTTCGAGTAAGTATACTTACGCATTTCACAGTTAGCACCAGTGTAACCAGCTGGGCATGCGCACATGTTTGGGCCGACGCAGATTCCGTTGTTTTCACAGCCTAACGGGCACGATGCTGAAATAAGAGAAGAAACAGCTTTAGTAATCATTTCTTCCAACAAACGGATAAATAATACATATGTAAACACGTACGTTATTTTTTTTTTTTTACGATAGGTTGTACATGTTTATGACATGGAGTAAATAACAAGTTCATTGTTCCTTTTAGTAAATTGATTAATATATTAAGAACATATGTATGTATGTATCTATATCTCTCTTATTCTCCCTTTAAATTGCACTGTACTACAACTTACGAGTTTCGCATCTCTTGCCATCATATCCCATCGGACAGTCACATGTTCCGTTGGCGTTACACTCTCCGCCATTTAAACAAGGAGTCTGACACTTCACTGAAAGAAAATAAGGACTAGATTAATACAATTGCATACTGTTTTCCATGCGCTGAATTATATGTTGCGTTGTGTTTCATTAAGTGACTTTTAATAACCGTGTCACCTTGACACTCCTGCAGGTAACACAGCCGTGTCTGCGTGTGAGGAGAGTCTTTGGCCACACATCGGTCCACAGCCACAATGTTGTTCCGGCAGAAAAGAGTCCTGGATTGTCGCCCTTGACCGCACGAGGCGCTGCAGTAGGACCACGAGGACCAATCAGAGCCATACACTGCAAGCCAAGAGGCCGTACAGTCAAACAGAGACAGAGCGAAACACAACAACGACCACGTGTTTATACTCCATACTAACATTACTACCAAGAACTAGCAAAGAACTACCCATTAAACTGTAAGACTACATGTGACCAGACGCTTAATACACACAGTCATAACCACATGAGGCCTTACAGTCACTTGCTAACTCGATTAACAGACGGTTAAAATACACTTTATCAATCGCGGGATTTTGGTGTATTTGACTTACCAGTGGGTTTCGTTGTTACATTGTTGAGGTCAGTCTGTGTGGGCTTACTGGTGACGGGTTTGTTGTCATCCTTGACAGGCATATCCTAAAGAAGATAAAAAACATCAATGCCAATCAGTTGTCTAAGATTATTATTTAGGCGTCCTTAGACTATAATTGATAGTGACTTAAGCGGTATGTATTATTGTTATCAACCTGTGGATGTTAATGAGGTACCTACCGTGACGTCACTCTGTACGTGGCACTGGAGCTCGGCGAAACTGGGGTCTTCAGCCAGAACAATTTGTTCAATGCTACCCTGTTACAGAAAAGAATGGTTAATTTAAAGTAACTTTTATAAAGCTTATATTCTTTAATCATATATGATTACATTCGTGAAACATCATTGTTGATGTTGATATGTTATCCTAATCGTTTAAAGAATGCAATCCTTACCCTGAAAGGTTGGCCATTCCTGGCGAAATAAGGTCCAATGGCGATCATAAGGTTTTTCCCAAGAGTTGAACTCTTCCTTCGGATAAGGGTCTTGCTCATGACGGTGTCGCAGTCGTAAAACAAGGTCACAATGTCGTCTTTGACGCTGAACGCCAGCTGGTGCCATTGCCCATCAGTCACAGCGACATCAAAATCAAGGGAGACAACCCTTCCATCATGATATTCCAAATACTCAAATTTAGCATTTGTGCCAAAATGGAGTCCAATCCTCTGTCTTCCTCTGATATCGTTAACTGTAAGAAGGTAACCTTCGTAGCCAGGATTTAGTTTAAAGGTCAAGGCCACACTGAAATCTCGTGGAAACGAGACTTCGTATAAAGATGCAACAGGGAGGAAAAGCTTGGCGTGAGGGGTGACTTGATATGCGTGTGTCCTGTTGGGGTTCTTATAGACGCCGAAAGGCATTTTCGGCATTCCTAGTTTGGTCACAAGGTCTGTAATTTCATTACACGAGTATGTATTGCACTTCCGCGTCTCAGTAGATGCACCCGTGCAGTCTGTTATGTTTTCTCTCGAGCATGTACGATGTCGCATCTGAACACCACCATCACAGGGGGCGCTGCAACCGTTCCATTTGGACCACGTGTGCCAACCTAAAATGACGAAACATAATGATTAATTTATATTTGAATACACAACACTAATTAACGATACAACTGTGTAGTGTTCAAATGATGAATGTAAGCAATAATCACCAGTTTTTCCTTCACAAATTATAATCCACCAAAGATATAAAAGAACACGCGGGTAAAATGGAGCTGCTGTAGAAGCAGGTGAATTAACAACAATCCTCAGTCATAAATCTGTCTTTTAATAGATATTTAATAGAAGTAGTCATTTTTTAGTCATTTATTATTACGCATCATGTGATTCGTCTTAGATCAAGGGATGGAGCTGTGTGATCTTCTTGAAGTTGTGTATCTCCGCGTTCCTATGATCAAGTCTCGCTCCCACAGCTGCCACACCCGACTGATGCCTATTGTAGGCGTGAATTCATCGTCAGCTTTATATGTGTCGGTGTAATTAAGTGTAAACTCTCTATAATCTGTACCGACTGAGGTACATTCGGCACATGAGATGGGGACACTATCAGGTCGGGTTTCCACTCAACAAGATTGGTGTCATTTTCCTTTTCAGTGACATTTAATGTGGTATCGCTCGGTTCAAGCGTTAACCCTCATACCTTTGTAGCCTGGGTGATGTAAATTCATGAAGTTATTAAATAGTAATCACATTATATATTATAGTATTCAGAATACCGTTTGTAGATGACATTTTTCATGGTTGGTGCATGTAATATTAATGTAATATTATACTTGGATAATGTAAATTTTTGGTTTTTTTATTACAAGTTTCCCGTGATTTCTTTTAAAGATATGACGCAAAATGATTGCAATATGAGCGTGGGTGAAATGGAAACTTGAAGGGTTAACATAGCCTATATTATAGTAACATTTATATCCACTGATAAATTCATCGTCAGCCTCCCGAATTTCATTTCATAAATGGGATCCGCTTATTCTTTCACTGTCGTCTACTTAGGTAGAAAAAGAGTCACAGCCGAGTGAAAGCTAGCCTCAGAGAGCCCTAGGCAAGGCTTTGAAACTTTGCTGCAGAGGAAAGCACCACACAGAAATAATAAATGACGCGAAATTACGTGGAGCCGTTCTCAATGCCCAAACTCACGGTGGTCTAGTGGGCATGTTTTCATAATCGACCTAGCACTATGGACGATGATGTAAGGATAATTTACTGTGGTAGATGAGAGGGAGGGGGAGGGAGGGGTGCATGCTCGGCAACAAGTCCATCTTTGTTTTGTTTGCCACAATAATCTATGCCCTGACAATCTCTTTGAACGAAGCCTCGCGTCATGAAACGGGTTGGGCAAAAAACATCTTTTCATTCTCCAAATTCTGACAATTTGTTCTTAAAGAACGAATTACACTTTAGAGAAAAGTAAGGGGTTTAGCGTTACCATTATCACCACCAAAGAAATTCGTTTTTTAGAGACTTCAACAGATGCGCAAGCTTATTATGATCAATCAAAACATCATATTGTTTGGAGAATGCACAATTTAAGACGTGACAGGATAAGGTTTCAAATTTTACTGTCACAATTAAAAGATAAAATCGTAATAAATTGTTATTAACTGACAAAGTCTGGTAAAGATAGCATCAAAGTTCATGAGGTTCGTCCACAGCGCTTCATCACATATAGACTGCAATACAATGTGTGGTCTGCTGATAGGACACTGCAGGGAATAGCGTACGGGTGGATGTGTACGAAACGTGTTGCTTTCAATCGGGTGGTTGGTCTACACGGATCATACAAAGCAAACCCAATAAATGCAGTGTCTTTCAAGGCAAATAATCAGCTATCAAATTTCTCTGTTTCGCTAAACCAACGCGTCTTTCTTGTAGAAAGCCAGAGCGCAGCGGGACGGGGCTGGACAAACCATGCCTTAACCAACGCTGTGTCCACAAGCCCACTACCCGGAGTCCTACCCGGCTGAAACTGTCTAGTCTAAGTTTGTTACTGCCGGTGTTTCGCTCAATAGGCTTTCAAGGAGGGTTTTATTATGTTATTTGTTTGTGGTCGGTGTATTGAGAGGATAAGGGGGACATTATTTGCTCTGGTGAAAGTCGTTCCTTCTCCCCACCCCTTGCTACAAGTAACAACATATCAATGCCGAATGTCAAGAGCTGGCTGTACAACGTAACACACGAACGCTAGCTAATTTAATGTTGAACATACAAATCGAACATGTTGTTGCTGAATCTATATATTCCGCTAGGAAGCATCTTCAAATGTGAAATTGAGTTAAAATGGTTGACTAGTTGACAGGCCAAATAGTCAGTCTCTGGAACTATTTCCTAAAAGTGGAATTACAACGCCGGTTTCTCTGTGTCGTTAAGTAGGTAATGGGCTCAATTTCCACTTCTTTCCCTTTCGTTATTATTACAACAAAGTGTTCTTTTGCAGATCGATATAATTTCCAATAATTAATGCCAATCACATTACATACAATGCTTGTTGAAAGGGTGCCATCAGTCGCGTCGGGGGGTCCTTTTCGTTGGCACTTAACTTTGAAACAAATCATGGGCTCCCTAGCGCATATAGTTTATTCCAAACAGCTGATATCATTTTCTGCAATAATTTCAAAATGCATTCAAGCGGAAAACAGATCTGTCATGCATGAACGTTTTAATCCAATTTCTCTGGCAAGTTCGTGTCAACTCTACCCGAGCTTCGAGTTTAAAATTGAATTAGTTTGGAGGAAAATATCGTCACTCGTCAAATGTCGTAATCAAAAAACGGTGTAAAAATCTCCCACAGGGAACAAAATTAAACCTCGACTCCTGTGCGTGTGATTTCAACTGTTATTTCGGCTACAGATACAATAAAAACATACTCAACAAAGAAGACAAGGCTCTTGAAAAAAAACTATCAAGGATGGATCTTAAAGCTTTGTCTGGGGTTCTCCTGGATAGTAGTGTCCGCAGGCAGGCGTTTACACATCGTGTATAATTTACAACCATATTAATGGCCTAGGTTATTGTAACTTGACTGTTTAATTCGTTGTAAATTCGAGAATTCTATAAACCTAGTTTTTTTAGGCCATGTTAGCCTGGCATCCTAAAGCAATCTACAATAGGCTGATCATACACTCTACATAATACCATGAAACATATCAAGCGCAGACAAAATATGCATGCATATGTAATTTCTGTCCCAGCTTTTCAAGTAAAATTTTAATCTAAGATGGCCCACACAATAACAGTCAGTCACTGCCACGCTCCAAAGATGATCTACTATAGAACCGTTCGCGTACACTCACGTTAGGAATTTCAGTAATAATGGACCCCAGCGGGAAGGGAACTTTAGAAACGAGAGGAATTGTTCTCGAACTAATTCCTGGGTTAGCCGCGAAGCCAGAAAAAGCCCCCGTCGGTTGACGTCCCTTCAAGGTCGGTTAAAGGTCATGGCGTCAACGGACCGCGCCCGTCTCGCGTTTGTACCTAGGCAATCGACAAAGCCCCAGAACAATAAGATATGTTTCATGACTAAATCTGGTTATGCTTTAAGTATTAGGGAATCGAGTAACTGTAAAGGACAACATAATGAAGCAATAACTGTCAGGTTTAGTACACGATCGTTTAAGGAACAAATACTATCTTATTTAGATTTGAACCCACCAACAACCTTCTAAAACAGACGAAATACCAATTGGAAAGTGTATAACTAAAATGTATATATGTTTACATAAATAAACTTATAAAACAATATAAATTTAAATTTAACATGAAAATTGTTGTCATACGTTAGGTAACCAAGGTGATTAATAAACGCCGAAATATGACGTGTTAATGTATTTTACTCATTCTCTACCTTCTTATGTTTCCGCTCAGCTGAAACTCGATGTCAAGACCATGCTAGTTAACATACTCAAGGGTTTTTCTCACCCATCTAATCGCCACTTTAAATTTGTTTTGTGCTGTGCTGAGTACATTACAAACACAACGCGGGTATGTTAACGAGTCCTCCACATGTGACTTGCCATATGAGCAAGTGAGAAGGACGAGTTAATCTCCGCTTTAAACGACATGTGATAAACTACAAGATCAAGTACACCTGAGAGTAAACAAGTAGCACAGTTTCACTACATGTTGTTATCAATGACAAGTGAGCTCGTTATCAATGACAAGTAAGCTTGTTATCAATGACAAACGGAACGAAACAAATCACAGTCGTGACAGTCATCATTCATTTAAATACGTTTGAGTTAAATACGTTTTTTTTATTCAGCTATGTAATTATAATAAACATGAATATACTGTTTTAAAAAGTTGTCATGTGTTCAATAAATCTTTTAATTATTACTAAACTAAAAAATAACCAGATAGAATTGAACAATATCAATTAGAAATAATGTGTGGGAGTTTATACTCAACGTTGAATGGCTCTAAGTCGACGGGGTAGGGCAGACATGGTAGAAGGCAGATCAGGGCGACATATCGTTAATAATTGTTTCTAACAGTCTGTTTTATTTCCCATTGGAGTGTAAATCCCCCGCAATTATTTCCCAGGCGTTAGTTGTTTGATCCATGTCTCCTAAACTCGGCATTTGACCACTGGTCGCCGGAATGTCCGTGGTGAAATTGACCATAAGGTAACCCTCCATGTAAGGCACTGACTGGGGGCTCAGTGTCCTGTATAATTACTTCTATCACACACGCTTCACTATAACGAACAGGTGCCCTAATGAAAATAGAAGCTAGGGTGTAGGCGGACATTTTGTTAATTTTCTTCGATTTTTCTACACGAGCCAGAGCTATGTATAACCCGAGTCTTATCCATTTACATTTAAAGTCTATTAAACTTTTTTTCCTGCAATAAAAGAACAACATATCACGACGCCTACCGACTTCAGTCGCCCCGCCGGCCATAAAGCACATAGTGTCGGTGTTAAATTCACACCGCCGAGGTTTTTATCAGAAGGAGAGTTTGTTTTTGATTAATGGCAAGGTAGGCATACGACCTAAGACTTTAAATCAACTTTATAAGTACTTAGCAAGTTCATAGCCATCTCGAATTGTTTAAAAAGTATTTAGGTATTCGGCATTTGTGACATTAATCTTCAAGCGAGGCGGATAAAGTTTCGACGTTGTCCGTATGAACACCTATTATGCGAAGTCGGTCGGGCTCCTTTAGATGCGGGCTAAGTAATAATATTGGGATTTTAAATATCACTTATAACCACTAAAATGAAATTAATTTTAAAAAGAATTTCAATAAATCGGATTTTTCACAAATTGTTCGGTGATAATATAAATAAGCTGGTGAGACAATGTTGATATTTGGTGGATTTATTAAATTAATTTTGGTACTTTTATGTTAGAATGAATTCTATGTATTCTGTCATTTTGCATTAAATCGTATAATGGCATGGTATCAATATCCTTGGCCAAACTGTAAACTAAAACGCTTGAGAAAAAGGCACGACGAGTATTAACCTTGAAGTGAACCAAAATTAATTTGATCTATTTAATACGACCATTACTATGTCCTAACACGCAGTCTGGATAATTGATATTTCTTGTGATCTCACTCCGCTGCTCTCAATGTCCTACAGATATGGAAATAAATTCAAACTGTTCGATTGCAGTCATAGAAGTTCACAGCATATAAATTAATTGTGAAATACGTTTTAATCACCATTGGTAATAATTAATAAAAGATTTATTAAAGTAGTACATAATTGAATAGTCTAAATCGGATTTTTAGAAAGTGAGTTTGATATATTTCCTGGTTCTATGAGAGAGATTTAATTTTAAAGTGTTCTTATCTCAGGTAAATCATGCTATTGAAATCTATCCCCCGTTAAACCACTTACCTGTGGGCAAGTGAGAAAAGGGTAAGAGAATCGTATAGAAAGCTACTATCGCTGGCAGGCTCGCTGACAGTGTTGATCTGTCGAGATAGATCACTATCGGCCGCCACAGGGGACGTGATATCTCTATACGCTCTAGATCAAGATTAATAATATTGCGCTATTTCCACTTAATCGTCTCCCGTAGTTTCCTGCGGTATACAATATAGTAAGATTTATGATCATGTTGGTTTTTTAACGTGAATTAATTTGACATTTGTAACACTTAAAGTTCTATATTGAATTATCCCTTCAATCAACTGTTCTTTTCTTTAAAAAATACCCGTGTCGCCAAAACTGTGTCGTGATGTAAAAAATCAGATCATTACATAGACAGTTGTTATTACAGTCATTTGACAAAAACGTTACCGTCGCCTTTTAGATTAAGGGATTACCTTAATCTTTTTGATTTGTAGTACTAAGTAATTAAATTACACTCAGCGTGGTTGACATTTATAATTGCAATCCTTCTAAGTTAACATATTTAAATAAGAACAAATTTAATTTAAAATTTATTTGTTAAATAATATAATTTATGAACTTATTGATATTAGACAAATTATAAAAAAATTGTTTCCTAAAGACATTTTTTAATATTGTGTTATAGAATAGATATAAGAATAAATATTATGAAGGTTTTTACCTAAATAATCCAAGATTTGTTGTTCATTTGCAGAAGTAAACTCTGCTACAGCTCCAAAGATGTCGTCGTATTTGGCTGACAGGCGGCCGTTGTACATGGTGAGGAACATGATGTGGGTGTCTCCAGGAACGACGTCAGCGTAACACATTGACCTGTCTCCGAAGTTGCTGATGTTGTAGATCTTCCTGCTCCTCTCTACGGATGAAACATCATCCACAAACTCGGCACCTTTGTACACTTCCAGCACCTGTACCTCAGCTGTGTAAGTTTCAGAATCGGATCTCACGTCTTTAAACGCTCGTACCACATTGGCAGAAACCACTATCTCCGCATAAGTTGCTCGTTCGTAAACAGTGAGCGGTGTCCATCCATTCAGCAACAATATGCATGAATGGGACTTGTGTAAAAGGTGAATAAATATATAAAATAGCATCACACATCGGATCTCTTTGCAGGCGAACATGATGGTGGTGATGAGAATCTTTTGTCGAACACAAACTACTATTTCTAGTACTATCCACAAGATTGTGCATATATCCGGCGAAGAAGGACGTTATAAGCAAGTAATGAATGAGAGGGTTATTTTACTGGTAGTTTGTACGTATCCGACTCCCTCAACCTCTCGTTACACTGTACTGACAAAACACCGAGTTAGTCCCTCTTATATGAAATGAGACGTGGCTGTTCCGTTGTCCTCCCCCGATAACCTGAGTCGATTTTTGTAGGATCAGCCAAGCAAAACTCTGAAAACGCTATGTGCTTAGAAAAACACAGTCTGTCTCGAGACGGGACCCCAGACAGCTTGGTAATCCCCCTGACGTCATTATCATTAATTCAAGGTCTGATTAAGGCTTTTAATGAGCATGCGACAATTTTGTTTTATTCCAAAACTAATTTGCATAATTTCAACGGTTGTAAAGAATGTATGTACCAAATTCAGATTTATTAAATAAATTATCTCCAAAACATAGTACAAAACTGTATAATATAATCTGTCAGTGTCCGATATACCCAACTTATCAATGTTATATATAAATATATTATTTAATTCACATCTCTTAGGGATGAAATATCAGGCTATGTTTATGGTTACAAAGTGAATTGAATCAGAGCGTCACAATAGACGCTCCCGGCGGCATCATGCATACCAAGCACCTATTTCCTTAAGTCCATTTATAGCTTTGCAATATATAAGACATATATAAGCGTGTTTCATTAAGTGACTCAGGAGTCTAAGATACGCATGAGAGCCACGGTTTTATTGATGCAATTTAGATAGGTTTGTTAGTTCATTGATACTTCTGCCTTGTACTCACGCAGGCGGATGCACTGATCTGGGACGCTTGTATGTCGTTATAATTGTGTATTCTCACCGTCACTACAAATGTTTAAAATATTTTTCTAGTCGAGCACGCACAACAACCCTTTGAGCCGGGCTGTCATGTAAGACTTGAAACTTCGTTATGTTTTCAATTTTTATCAATGCTTTTTTAGAGCTTAGGTTAATGTGTTTCAGGTGCAGACTATTCACCTTACGTAGATATTCACATTCGTTACCAACTATTCACATTTGGTACCAGATATTCATCATCGTTTTTGCCACGTTATGCGTTCAAGAAGCGTGGCAAAAAAGTAAGGGATCAAGAAATATTTAGGGGATATTTTTGTAGTGAACACTAAGCAAACGATTTCATTAAAAAAAATACTTTTTTGTTCAGTATATATAAAAATCCGATGATCCATAGAATATTATCCTTATTCACTAGCTTTACAACTCTCTATCAATGAAAATTCATTTTTACATTTATTTTATTAAAAAATGTTTTATAACTTCCCCTCCTTACAAACAATCGCCCTAAATCCTATGAATTTATAGAAGGTTTAGATCATATAGTTTAACATTACAATGGCCCCGTCCTCAGCCATAATCAGTGTAAAGACCATAGCAATTTGACTTGGAGAGCTTCGAGGCAAAGTAGTACTTAAGGACAGTTTAGCCTGTAGGGTGTCGGGTGTCGAGATTGTGTCTGATAACCCCCTAGAAGGCCCCGGGACTGACAGGTTGTCGGGGTGGCGGGCCGTGTGCAGTGATTGATAGCAAGTGACACCACTTTTCCGCTGCCGTGATTCTATTCGTCAAACTCTATCGTCTTTCTTCGGGGGTGGCGTTGGCTGAAACGAGCGGCAACCGGAATTCTTCCTGAGAATCCAAAATGTTATTTCAATTTTGAAATACTTTCACCGTGTATTATCGGCGGACATCCGCAGTGTATTTATTTCCTGGTTGTTAAGAAAACTGGGGTGTTATTTGTGAAGTTCTTTTTCTGAAAAGTAATTGGTAATCAAATCAAGGCCTAACGGTTGTAGCACCCTGCACAAAGGATACAAACGTCTGTTCGACATGTAATAAGGCGTATTGCACACCATTATCAAGACCCAAGAAAGCTCCATTCCACCTGTTTTCCTTCATTTAAATAAACTGCTAGGCAAAGAAAAGTATGCAGCCATGTTTGATTGTGTCTAAAAATGAAACAAACAAGAAATGGCCATTCGACGGTGATTTATGGGTAAACGGGTATCAGTTGTGTTTTGGACAAGTTTGCAGTGATTTCAGCTTGTAACGCTTTGATAGCGTTTGTAATGTTTGGTCAAATCCAGTTTACAAGTGTACAATTGTGTAGCCCAGCACTTTAGCATATGCTGCACCTGTCGTAAAAATGTCCACCCAAAATTCAAAACAACTGCAAACGTTATGGCATAATATCATTGTACGAATGTTTAAGTTCGTTGCATATGTTTTCTCGCTGATACATATACGCAGATGCAATAGCTACATCTGGGAACCAAACTAAATGTTCATTAATCATCTGCAATAGAGCCTGTCAAAAGACTGCGATGCTTACAATTTTGGTGAAAAACAGATGTTCATTTTGAAAGTTATCCTTGCCCATATCCCACGACACCAGGACGTGTATACATGTTCTAGGACCTTTGCAGGTCAACGAGTCAGAACAAGATTGGCGTGTATGGTGTCCTGGGCATTCCCGCCACTAGCCATTTATTGTTTTAAATCTGTATTTGAAATCAATCGCAGATCAAACCTATAAACTATCATGCACATTCATAACAAACGATAGCTCAGCTGCTTCTGTAATCCTCCCTTCCTTTAGGGTCTGTTCGAATTCCTTAGTGACAAGTATATTCTTAGTTAACGACAAAAAACATTAACAACACGATTGACCGATAGAGTAATTGTGTTGCTCTCCCAAGACGAAAACTCATAAAACATAAACCCAACTTGGTACTGTAAGCCTTTAAATGGCACTTCTTACACACGGATAATCTAGCACATATGTACCCTTTAAGTGACCATCCGCCTATATCCAGATGGCCATTCCTATGGCCACCTTACACCAGAAGATAACGCCAGGCACCTCTCAATCTCGCCTACCTGTTATTTACCTGAACAAAACTCTTTCATCTTGCCGACAATTCGCTTACCTGTTGAAATCGTCACTTGACTGAAGTAGATTTTTAGTTCGACCATGCATTGGCTTATAGTAAGGCATCGTGTCAGCGATGATAATTGCGAGGAATGTTGGTGTAAGCGGGTACCGGAGCTAATACCCTAACAGCAAGGTAAATTGACCAGAAAAACGTCGTGAATATTTGCGTCAGGGTGAATTAACATGTGTCACTCCAAGATACGTTGGTGTATGATCGGGGAGATAGTATTGTGTAAATATAGGTCTCTGACCTACTTGTTCACATTTTTTACCGATCCATAATTCAAATTCATCTTAAGTGTGAAGGGGTACAATGTGGCCACATAGACTTTTCAAATAACACATTGTACAGGGTTATCTGATGTCGAGGCGGACGTGACGGCTCGGGAACAGTGTTGGGCTTGTCTGATGCCCGTGCTAGTGGTGTGTCGAGCCACACAACACATACATACAAGGTACTTATGGACGGTTCGGATATATAGCATTGATTTATGCGACTCTTGTTTGTTTGTTGTTTAACGCCGCTCTCAGAAATATTCCAGCTATATGACGGTGGTCTGTAAATAATCGAGTCTGGACCAGATAATCCAGGGATTTACATAATGAGCATCGATCTCCTCAATTGGAATGGCATGCATCAACCAAGTCAGGGAGCCTGGCCACCCGATCACGTTAGTCGCCTCTTATGACATGCATTGGTTGCTGAAGACCTTTTCCGGGTCTGAGCGGGTCTTATTTTTATTGAATCAAATAAGACATATCATACATAGTCAGATATATGTATTACAAATGCACGATAAATAATTATACCTTTATGACCAAATATAGAATGTAATAATAATGCTAAATAATGAATGATCATACTTAAATCCCTAACGTGTAAACCTCGCAACACGTCTGAACCAATGTCATTGGAACGCGAAACATTAATTCACTCACTGTTGAAAACCAAACATTGAATAAACGACATTCCGCGGGCATGAATAAACAATAAACACAACGATTGTATTAACCATTGACATGGGGCAATTCGTGATTGAATCAATACCTTCAAGTATAGGTCTCAGACTTGTGTTTTACCTCCCCACTGGCGACTGATTCAATCACACTTATTGTGGCAGTACTCAGCAACACAACGGAGGGTTGCTAATCTTGTCAGCTGTAACAAAGTCTACACTCCATAATCCAGACGTGATGTCTCGGCATAATTAGTTCTAAAAAGTTCAATAAATCACCAAAAAGCGGGGCAGTTGTTTTAGCGGTCCAGTTGCTAATCCTACCCAATACCGCAATTGTTAAAACAACAAACCTGGCTATTAAATGTTAATTTCATTGCATGTCAATACAGTCATCAGCTACTCGAGACAGAGCGTCTGACTTGAATCAGTGTTCTACTGAATGAGTAGAGTAATCGGCTCTTCCTCACACCTCCCCGCGTTCCTATTTTTTTTTATTGAGTCGGACAATCAATAGCAGAGATGAAACTGATTTTTCTTTTTATTAAATTAAACTGACTATTTGGTTTTGGGTTTTTTTATACAGCAGTAATGAAGTCATTATGAAGATGTAGTATGTATAATTTCTCCTTGTATAATGACTTTTGTTGCTGCAGCCAATTCATGAAGATCTATAATGAAGTGAAATTGTGGAACGTTTCAGTCAATGATTTGACGTCTTTCACACGATTTTAGCAGCAGTTATTGAAATAATGTTATAATCAATTCAATTCTTTATTAACTTTTATCTTTACAGATAATCGGTGGTTGTTAACACATGTGGACAGTTAGGTAATTTAATCATAACTTGGACCAAAGATCAATGACACCAACAACAACCTTGTATTTTATACTCAACGCTAACCTTTGATTAATGGTCGAAACAACACCCCGTTAATCCCTTATCCTGCGTCACACCACTCAACTAATCCAGACAGCGTGTCTGCGTGTTCATTAGCGTATGGCTATTAAGGAAAACTGATGGAATGCCTGCTTCTGTGAGTTTCTATTAAACGTGCAGCCATTTAATAGTTAAAACAACAAAACTGGTCAAGATCCGTTAATCCCATAGCATGTTCAAACACAAATCACCTGCTCGAGACAGGCTGTCTGATCTGGCTCAGGACAGTCCCAACGATTGGACCAGTTGGCAGTTCCATCAACCTCCCCTGACAAGCGTCAACTGATTCACCTTCTCGGTGA